TGGTTTCAATCTTTTCAATTCAGCCAATCTACGCTGATCCAATAGTAAACCATTCCTATGGTTAGGAGCCACCCTCTATCTCCAGTACAGAACAACAAACCCCCGTGTTGCAAACTTAACACAACAAACAATACAAGCAACATGAAGACCAGTTTACTACATAGCACTGCAATTCTTATTGCATTACATGATTTAGTACAACAAAAACAAAATGTGTACACTTGTGAATTCTCTAATATATTTGAAAGTGAATGAACACACGTCTGTCAATCTTTGAAAGTCCGTAGACTTTTGCCCACGGGATAGCATCTATTACTTTGTTTCAACCATAGACTTATTATACTTCTACGGACTTTCAAAGATTGACAGACGTGTGTTCATTCGCCTTTCAAATATATTAGAGAATTCACAAGTGTACACATTTTGTTTTTGTTGTACTTACTTACCCTCTATCTCCAGGGCAGAAGCGAAGTAAACACATAAGCACAACGTGTGAAAAATTACCCTTTTTACTGGCCCAAGATCAACTCATTTGCTCTACGGAGGAAGAGATATGAGAACACAGCTCCTATCTCTATAAGGACTCTCAAAATATAATTTATGATGTTAGTGTGTTGTCCTTCCCACAAGGAATTCAGGGTAGCAATACAGGAAGCTCTCACGTTTTATCCTCACAACGACCCTGTGAGACACAACAACTGGGCTATGGTTGAAAAACTCATGTTGGAAAGATTTCAAATTGACAGTGCAACCCAGTGAAACAATCCCATTGAGTTCAGTGGATTTTATTCCAAGCTAAATGGATATAGAATAGAAGGTGAAATAATTGAATTGAATCTCCTTCATTTCCTCTTTGCAACTTCCTCAGGGGAGCCACCTGTCTTGTGCAATTCTATATACATGTACTCAGAAGTAATTCCCACTGAGTTCTGTAATACTTGCTCCCATGTAAAGTGGTACAGATTTAGAATTTTATTCCTATAGACCAGGCATGGCCAAACTTGGCCCTCCAGATGTTTTGGGACTACAACTCCCATCATCCCTGACCACTAATCCTGTTAGCTAGAGATGATGGGAGTTGTAGTCCCAAAACATCTGGAGGGCCAAGTTTGGCCATGCCTGCTATAGGCTATAACATTTTTTATAATTACTGATCATTGGCCATATTGGCTGGTGCTGAAGAGGGTGCAAAATAGCAAGGCAGCTTCAGAAACAGGATTGAGAAAGTAAAAGGGGGGCACATGGTGGAAATGAGAAGCTCTAAGGTGTTCTTGTAGGGGAGTGGGGGGTTGGTGAGCAGGGAGGCAGAGCCCCCCCCCCCGCAATAAAATAAGAATTAAATATCTGCACAGTATTCATGTAAGGGACAATCACTGAATCACTGATCAGTTTGATTAAAAAAACTAAAATGTTACTTGCAACCAGGGAAGGATCCTCCCAGTTTCTTATATTTCCAGTCTTCTAAGTTCAATTTTCCAGATTTCCACGTCAGTTTGTGGTTTATTTGGTTTTTTTTAAGAGTCCTCATAATAATTTATCAGTACCTTAGTACAAGTTTATTCTCATATACACATTTTGGCAAAGCAGCTTCCCCCAAGAGAATGTATTTTCCCCAATAGATGCATTAATATGCTATTCTAACATGTCCATTTTCACATACAACACTTGAGGTACAGTGGTACCTCGGGTTAAGTACTTAATTTGTTCCGGAGGTCCGTTCTTAACCTGAAACTGTTCTTAACCTGAAGCACCACTTTAGCTAATGGGGCCTCCTGCTGCCGCTGCACCGCCGGAGCACGATTTCTGTTCTCATCCTGAAGCAAAGTTCTTAACCCGAGGTACTATTTCTGGGTTAGCGGAGTCTGTAACCTGAAGCATATGTAGCCCGAGGTACCACTGTACTGCATTGCAAAATTTGGAGAAGTACAAATTTTGAAGGATGGGTGTGTTTTGGTTCACATGTTGTTTCAGAAAATGCATATTAGGTAAGTTTGCCTTTAAATGAAAACTGAAACAAATTTCTCCCCATCCCTACTTGCAACTAAAATGGATTGGAAAGGTACTTCTTTTGCGTACAAAGCAGCCAAAGTATGGCAAAAGAATTTTTGAGAAACATGGACTCAACAGTTTTTATTATGCAGCATGCTAAGATTTTCTGAATTGTCAATTTATTTAAGTGTGCGGTTTATATATTTGTTACAGCTAATGATATTGACAACTAGAAATACTGACTGTTTTCTGGATTGCATCTTCAGCCTGAATATCTTCTGTTAGTAATGTTGATACAGTATTCAGTGCCAGAATTACATGTAAGCTAAACAAGCTATAACTTAGGGCCCCACTCTCTTGGGGGCCCCGAAAAAATTCAAAGAGAAAAAAACTAGATGTACATTTCCAAAATATAAGATAAAAAGCAAATAAAATAAAACCTACATACAACAAGTGCTGTATGTAGGTTTTTATTGTGTTGTGTATGGACCTATTGGGTGCATAAATTACCATATAGCATATATTCAACACAAAAAACAGCGACAATTTGTTGTTGACAAAGCACAGGTGGATATATAAAGGGCACCATTACCTTCAGTAGCTTAGGGCCTCATAAAACCTAAATCCGGCCCTGCTGTTATTTGAAAGGCAGAGAAACACCAGCTGTTTGCAATTATTAAAGGATTCTGTAATAAGGGTGAGACACTGAAATGGAACCCATCTGAAATCAATTTAATAAATTTGCACGTGTAAGGTCACAGGTTGGTGTAAGATCACTTTTCGTTTTCAGAGTAAAACTAGAGTTATTCATGTGTCTGAGTTTTAATTGTTTCTCACAAACACAGTTCAAAGCACACACACACACAATTCATGAGGTATGTCAGTAGTAATTTTTAGAATATTAATGACTAATTTCCTTTGCTATTCATAGCTTTGTTTTCCAAGTAAAAGGGAGTTGAGAGTGCGAAGCGGCTATTTCAATTTTTCCACCAGGATTTCCTTGAGCAGGTAGAGGATTGCCCTTCTTGTTCTTATCTAGGTAAGTTTTGTCTTTGTTCCATTATTTTAAGTCTACTGCTATGGCCACTTGTGTTCCTGGACTAACCACTTCCATGTGGCCCCCAGAAGATTACCCACAAGGGAATATGGCCCTCTGACTGAAAAAATGTCCCCTGTCCCAATGCAGAGGAACCATTTCAGAACAGAAACAAGAAAATTCAGAATTTTCAGCTCCCCAGGAGCCGGCTGTTTATCTGTGTTCCTTACAGACATGGAAACAAGACAGACACACCCCTGCCTTGGCCTGCACCAACTGATACAGTGTTTGGGTGGCTTGTGGCTGTCATCACATTAGTTTTCTGTGTGGTGGTGTTTCCATAGGTGCTGAGGGTGTGTTTGTGTGTCATTTCCACATCATCTGCAGATTCTGCATGGGGTTTCTTTTTCCCCGCCTGGGCTGAGTGGTCATAGGATATTGTGGCTGTAGTGGTAGTGCATCTCCCCCTTCGCCAAGGTAATTTAATTAATATATTTATTTACTGCTCTTCATCACTGTGGCAGCAATCCCAGAGCATTAAAAATGCAAATTGCAGCTCATATAAACAAGCAAAACTTCACCAACCTGCTCTTAACTAACCCAATAATAAACAGACAGGCTGAGGTACTAATATCCAGAGAATGCCCGAATGTAAACTTACATGAAGAGCCTTCTCCAACCTTGGGGACTGGAGTACAAAACATCTGGAGGGCACTAGGTTGGGGAAGACTGGTTTATGCAATGGGCCGCCATTTTGTTATTTAATAATAACAACAGAAACACTGTCACAAGAGCTAACTGTTTCTCATATTTTCATCCTTTATTTCTGTCCTGCTCTGTTTTATACATTTGAAACAGAATCTTCCTAGCAGCTTGTAAGCAATGCTTCTGTGGAGAAACTATGCTTTAATTTCTGGAAGGATGGCTGTGAAATTATCTTGCATTAGAAAAATGTGGTACAGTGGTACCTTAAAGATAATCAAATGCCTGTGTCAATAATAAGTGAACTCTGACAGATGGAAGCTATTATCATAAACAAAGATTGTTGAGGCACCTTACAGTGCAATCCTATCCATGTCTACTCAAAAGTAAGGCCCAGTGACTTTAATGGGGCTTGAATCCAATAAATGGGGAATTGTTTAGGGGGTTTTTGTTACTGGTATTAGTATTTTGTAACTTTCCTTTTCGATACGATTATGATTCCTGTGGAAACAGTTTCCATTTGGCTGTGTACTTTTTGACTACTGTACTTTTTGTTATGTTTGTAATTATGTAAACCTTTTCATGCTGGAAGCTGAAGGGTTTTAACTATCATTATTATTTAGCAAATTTGTATGCTGCCCTTCATCCGAAGATCCCAGGCTTACAAATAAAATGATGGTGACTGAAAGGACTGCAACTGTAATATAAAGACTTAACAGATTCATTATAGCCATAAGCTTTCGTGGCCTTTCCCTTCTCTTCCCCTGTATTGAGAACCTTGCTGGCAATATACCGTATTTGAAGAGCTACATAATAAAAACCCAAAATCGGATCAATTATCCAGTGTATCTTGCTCACGTGCTAATAAGCAACGGAGCTCAACTGGGCTCCCTTCCAAAGTAAGCCAGCATGTCGGATTGCACCTTCAGCCTGCAAAGCGCACATTCAGCCAAGCCCTGGGAATGTAAAACTGTACTGGGTTTACTTTTGCTGGTTAATTGATTGGGGCAGGGAGCGAGGGGTGGGGGGATGTCACACTCTCTGAACGTTCGCTGCCCTGCGCGCAGGCGCTGTTGAGCGCTTGCGGCTCGCCACGCTCAATCGCAGCGCCCCCCGCCCACCTCCCCCTTTCCCGGCCTCTCTTCCCCTCCCTTCCCCCGCCCCTGCTGGGACCAGGAGCCCGGAATCCTGGCAGCCCAGAGGCCCGTTACGGGAAGCACCACCTCTGCCGTCTGCCCCGCCCATGGCCGTGACGTCACCGCCCTGCTCACCAATGGCGGCTCGAGCGAGGCGCTCGAGCTAGCGGAGTGAAGCCGTCAGTCAAGGCGAGCGGCGCACCGCAGTTCATAAGGTGTGCGCGGCGGCGGCGGCGGCTCGTGAGGCGTCTGGCGGGGACGGCGATGGTCCGAGGCCTGTGGGAGTAGCGCGCCAGGAGGAGGTGAGTGAGGGGTGGGTTTACCGGCCCGCGTTGGCCTTCGGCCGAGGGGAGCAGCCTGTTGGCCAGGCCGAAAAGGAAAACTTGGCAGCTGCCCTCAGGGGGGGCGGGGGGAGCCGCTCTCCGCTTCCCCCCGCGGACAGGCCTTGTCCTCCGAAGGCTGTGAGGGAACGAAGCCCGTTCTCGAGCAGCCCGCCTCGGTCGGGCTCTGGCCTCGGAGGCGGCCCCTGAATCGGCTCTCTCCTCAGCGCTGCTGAGGCGCGTCCCGCTTTTCGGGCGCCTGGCTGGAAAGGCGCCTCGCGTTGCTTTGGGACGCCCACCGGCGCCTCAGACCGTCAAGCGCTGGGTCGGCCTGGTTTGCGACGCCGCCCCCTGGTAACATTTCTCTTAGAAACCACCCTCCTCCAGTCGCGGCCGAGGGTGGCAGCAGAATTCCCTCTGCCCTCTTCTTGCTGCGCGTTCTTACGTGCGCAAAGAGGGGTCGGGTCGGGGGGGGAGGGGCGACTGCTCCGTACTCCGGTCTGCCTTGAGTTCTCAACCGAATGGGGCAAGTGGTCGTTCTTCCTCGACTAAACATTCAAACTAATATCTATGGAAATATCTATTGAAAGGCTACCCTGTCGCGAGCGGTTTGGAGAACCTGAGTTAATTTCTCACGGTTATTTCTCCCCCTCTTTTACACGATAAAGCTCAGCGGTCGTAGCAGATAAGGGTGTATACAACCTTATCTTCTGGGTCGCCTCTCTTTCCTCCACTGTTGCAATCTGGCCGTCCCTGATCTTTTCACGCCTGCTATAACTTTTTTTCCCCTTTTCCAAATTCTTATCTGTGGGGCGTTTTTTCAGGTAAGCCCCACCCCACATAATCGATCACATGATGCAGTGCGCACACCCCATCTGAATGGGAATGCGCATCAACTTTGTGGGGGCCCAGCCCCTTGAAATGTTACTGTGGGGGCCAAAACCCCTTGGGCCCCTAGGAGTTGGCGCCTATGGTGGGCACCCATTGCTATTCTAAGAGAAAGAAGAGGTGGTTCATGTTGAGTTCCAGCACCTCTTTTTCTAGAAAAATAGCACTGCCGATAAGTCAAATGAGGGTTGTGCCAGTGGCATTCAATCAGTGGACTAGGGGTACTAGGCTAGTCCCCTAAATGTCCTCCTGGTGCCTCCTCCCCAAAGCCCAGAAAGCTGCTGCCCTGCTTAGGGAGGGAGGCACAATGCTCACCTGCAGTTGCAACTCCGGAGGGCCTCAATCACCCTCACAAGCTGGTTCCTCTGGCCCTAACTGATTACCTATGAAAAAATCACTGCATGCCACTGGATTGTATGTTCCCTGGCCAGGAGCTGAATCATACCCCTGCAGTCTAGGTCTCATTGTGTTGGTGGTAAACCTGTTCCTAAACTGGGGGCTACCTTTGTGGTGCCCTTTAGACACTACTGGGCTACAACTCCCATCAGCCTTGGCAGCATAGCCAATGGTTTGGGATGATGGGAATTGTAATCCAGCAGTATCTTCCTTTCACTCCCGTTCTTCGACTTCCACTTGTACAGTTTTAGACCAAACTGCTTTGGAGGAGGATGCAGCCTTTTTGTTGTTATATGCAGTTCATGGCATGCTATTATAAACAATAGTGATAATGTGCAGTGTTCTAACACATTCTTGATGTTGAATAGTACTGGGATCAAGCTAGAAGTACATGGTGGCATAGAGATTGGCTGTCATTCACCCTAGTTGATATCTCTTTTGAAAGGCAGACTGGTGCATCTCAATATTGTCTCTACTGTATTTCTGGGCTTGCCATTTGTGTACTTCCTCTCCCCACCCTCCCAAGGATGCTAGGATCATCAGTATGCCTGATTAGGGGATTTCCACAGGGTTACTTGACTACAGTAGTGTATGACATATAAAGGAAATGATACTATTTTTATTTGTATGATAAATTTGAGTAGAGTGCTGAGAATTAGTACAGGAGAGTGGTGAGAATTTTCTCGGCATGTGGTTCTTTTACCTGAGTTGATGGTTTGCCTTTGACAAGATGGGAAACATAAGCAGTAGCCAGTAAAATTTTCTTAAGGTGCTTCTTGGTTTCCTATCAAAGGCAAAAAGGACAAGATCAAAGTAGGCTTTCCATCCCCCCCCCATAAACTTCCTGTGGATTCTGATTATCTTCTGTTGTGCATTAATAGTCTACTATTTTAGCTAAAATTGTATTGGTACTTTGCAACCAAAATTTATTATAATATAGATTTTGGTTCTAAATACTGTATTAATGTAATGTGCAGCCTGATCATTGCAGTTAGGCATGTCTAGTCCCATTGAAGTAAGAAGGGCTAAGAATGCATATGCATAGGATTGTACTGTTAGTGGTGGGCAGTATTAAAATTCTGTTCTATGATGTTAGATGCACTGGAAAGAACTATGTTGGCTTTCATTTTAAAGCACTTTGCTCTGCCTAGAAAACGTATGCAGGCCTTGTAAAACAGAAATGTATTTCAAATCTGCAGTAGCATCAATTCTTAAGAGTCATATTTCAAAGATCCAGGTGTCAGCAGATAATTTCTAACTTATAAGATCTGCATATGGGAGGGGTGGGGGATGTGGGGGGGGGGAATTCTATATGCACACAAAATTATAACCTGAAATTGTAACATACGCCTGGGTTGTATTTCACATTAACCTGTAGTTAAATTAAACTTATTTAATGTGAACAAGCACCATGCCAGTGTGTACTCCTCAAAGGTCTGTGCCTTGTTCCTCCCTTGCTCCAGCTCCTCTGGGGAGAAAACAAATCAGAATTTGGCTTGTTACTTGTGAACCCAAGCTTTTGGTTTGTTACTCTTCAGACAAACCATAAGCAGAAGCAAGGCAGCAGGAGGGAGAGAGAAGTGAAGCAGTACATATTAACATTAAATCACAGTTTCAGTGTGACACACAAACCAGACCATGCAAACATCTGCTTCTAAATGGGAAATTTTATAATGCACCTTATTTTTGTAGTTTTAACTTGTTTTGCACTGATTTTAATATTGTGTCTTAATGGTTTTAACTTTCCCGGAGACCTTAGGATGAAGGATCAGGTAATAAATTGTTATTATACTAATCCAAACACACTAAATCAGATATATATACCTTTTAGAAAATGTGCATCATTGGCCAAGGAAAGTTCTAGCCACAAGACAAAAAATGGACTTTATCAGTATATTTAATCATGATCATTAAGTAAACCACAACTGTCAACTTTATATTTTTATAAAATCAATATTGTGATAATAATTAACAAGCAAGCTAGACATAAATTATATATAAAATGGAGGGTGTGTTAGTTTATACTTTTCCCTCACTTTATTGCATTGTGATAATGGTTGAGAAGTGAGTTCAGTAGCCACACTCAGGCGCATATTGTACCTGGTCATTGACCACTTGTGACCAAGTGAAGATGCCTGGGCACCAGGATGGCACCTGACATCTCCACCATCTGAAGGTTCATGCCTGGGAATCATTGGATCTGAACTGTTTTCACACACTAATACCACATCCTGTAGAATTCTGTCAGATTTATTTATCTTTACAATTGAAATGGATTTCATAAAGCAAAATGCTTTTTCTGTGCAGCCTGAACAGGAGCTGGTACCATTAAGAAAAAGAGGTAGGAATAGGAATATATGTGGACTCTCCCTGGATCGAGTACTTTTCTTCTTTAAGTTTTCAGAGTTCTTAAGCTAGCTCAAGGTGGTCATCCGAACTAACCAGATGTTTAATTGATATTCAATCAATCATTTGAAGAAGAAAGAAGACTTTAGAGCCATCTTGCCCCAAAATGGCAACTAGACAATTGGGGAGTTGCCTGTGTTCCTGTTCTCACTCTTGGCTGTTTCCCTGAGTGCTATTCTTTTCTTACTTTCCACAAAACCTTTTTGTTCATGGTTAATAAACGTGTCAGAACAGAGGAAACTACAGAACCTGTCTCCTGAGAAATGTCTTCATAAAAAGAAAATAGTGGCTGATTGAGCAGAGTAAAAATATTATATATAAAAAAATTGTTTTTACAGAGACTTGGTTCAAGATGTTTTCAAAATGGAGTTGGTTACTGCAAGCTGTGTGTACTCTCCTGAGCATTTACTCCTTTGGAGGTAAGTCTGCAGGATTAATAATAATAAATTGTTCCATTGTATTATTAAGCTCTGTCAGTTTGTTGATTTGTATACATTATAGAAAACGATTCTTGATTTTTAGTTTGAATCTATTATATGGAAGGCAACGGCATAGAGACCACAGGCTTGTCAGATCTATTTGTGTTTTTTTGTTAAAACCACAAGATCTGTGAGCCAGAGCCAGGTGTAAAAGGCATACAGTTAGATTACATTCTGAGTCTTTGTATTTGTTTTTGGTAGCAGAAATGAATCAAGTTCACTGAAAAGTCCACTCCTGGTTAACCCAGACTTTCTTCATTTCAGGAGCCTAATGTAAGGGGGGTCAGTATTCTAGATAGATACTGTTGGCTTGTAAAGTCAAAATATAAAAAGTTGTGAAACAAGCCAATAGTTGATGTGGTAATATGAAAGGAAGGATATTTAACTTATTATCAGGTTTTCTAGCTTGCTAGATTCCTCTTTTTAAAAAGAAATCCTGTACAGTAGAGAAAGATTACACACAAACCAATTAAGTTACAACATGTGGTATGTTGCGGTGGAAAGTGAGAAAATGGTTGAAATATTTCCTGCAAGATTAATATTTAAATTGCACAGACAAAATTGAATAATATGCTTTTAGAAATGAAATATAGGTGAAATTTCAAGACAATGTTTCTCTTTACATAATATTAAACAGGCCTAAGGAAATGTAACACATATGTACTGCTACCTCTGCACATTTCTATCTTTTTTATTCACTCCTAATTCTGATGTTTGATAATGAAACTATCTTTGAAATCATGAGGTGTGGGGGAGTTCACTTAACTAGCACAGACAAGAAATGCAAATAGTCATTAGGAAAATGATTACAGTTGCTAGACCTAATGTCTTGGATCCTTAGATATGAGAACAGAAGCAAAGCGTCCTTTCCCTCCCCCATCCTCTGCATTACCCTGAACAGCCTCTGGAGACAGTTGGGGTTCCTCATGAACAATGTGGGATGGGTTTGCTATGGTAGGGGAGGATTTTCCCCCAGATTGGAAGGAAATTCCCAGCTATCCCAGCAGTCTCTGGTACCCCATCCCAAATTGTTCGGGGGGGGGAACCTTTTGGAGTAGCTTTTCAAGGTGCAGAGCTCTCACAAGATCTCACTGGAACCCAGAAGCTGCTGCTGCTGCTTGTGGGTGGGGGGGGGGGGTGCCCATGGATGGGCAGGCCCAGAGGTGAATTCAAGAAACCTATCTATGAACTTCCATCCAGTCATTTATCTTGGATCCAAGCAAATGTTGTCAATTAATGTACACTTGAAAAGTAAAGGGGGAAATGTATTTTCTAGGTAACTATTGTCTTCCTTTGTCATATTGTATGCTTATAGCAATAGTAGCCATCTTAGTGAACAATACCAAACAAATGATCTCTCTCAGTTTCAGATGGATATGCGCGATCATGTGGCTATATAACTCCGGAGTCTGCTGTAGTATCCCTTGAGTCCAGCTTTACAGCATACTGCATTCTTAGTGACTATTGTCTAGATTATGGCAACCTTCGTGCTGATAAAGTTATCTGGAGAATTCAAACTAAGGTTGTTCCTAAAGAACACTATAGCATAATAAATGAAACTGTTTCAAGAGTAACATTCAATGACACGTCTATATTGGCTTCTCCTCTGACTTGTAACATCTTAGTGGCAGGAAGCATTGAGCAGAACATCTATGGAATTCAAGTTGCCTTGGGCTGTAAGTATTTCTCCTTAAATTCTTCCTTGTAGGGATACACATAAAAGGAACAATCTATTGCCATACAGTGGACCCTCTAATTACATACCACTCTGGATATGTAACTTTCAAGTTACGAACGTGGCAAACCCAGAAGTGTATACTTCCGGGTTTTGCCGCATGCACAGAAGCGGCACCTCTGCTTATGGACTTTTCGGGTTGCGGATGGACCCCTGGAATGAATTTAATTCATATCCGGAGGGTCCACTGTATAGTCATTCTCCTGCTCCTTATAACACTCTTAGAGGATGTTGGATTTTGTCGAATATATTGTAGACAACATGGAGAAATGAGAAACTTTTATTTCACATAGTTGAAAGGTACCAAGTAAAGAAGAAAAAAGTTACATCGTCACTTGGCAAATATGTCACCAGGCAGGAGTAAGGGCAGAAATTGCTGCCTGAATGATGTTTGTTCCACATAGTAACTACACAATTTCTGCCCCTGTACTGTATTATGAGATTCTGAGTATGATTTTATTTTGAGAATAGTGGTGACCCACCTGGAGAATCTGTCAAAGATGTAAAACGGGATATAAGTTTTCTAAATAAAGTTTAACTATGTTACATGGGGATAGGCATTATGCTTCCATAAGAAAGGCAGTTCAGCAGGTATGCCTGTATTGTGTAGCATCAGTTTCAGCGTAGCCCCTTGACCCCTGTTCCTTCTGGCTTATTCAATCTAGCAGAGAGGGTGGTTGGGTACAGAGTGTGATTAGCACTTCATTGATTGCAGGGGTGGTGCATGCTGCCTTGGAAGAGGTAGTGGTGTGTCCTCCCTTAAATAAACCAGTCCTGGGCCCCTTAGTTATACAGTGGTGCCTCGCAAGACGAAATTAATTCGTTCCGCAAGTTTCTTCTTCTTGCAAGTTTTTCGTCTTGCGATGCACGGTTTCCCATAGGAATGCATTGAAAATCAATTAATGCGTTCCTAGGGAAACCGACTTCAGACCAGGTCCGGGGACAGTCTGTCCCCCGACCTCTTCTGAAGGCTGGGGGGGGGAAAAGGGCTTTTCTTCCCACCCCCAGCATTTTAAAAAACCCCGGGACAGCGGAGGGCTTCTCCGCTGTCCGGGGCGATCTTAAAATGCTGGCAGGCGGCATTTTAAAATCGCCCCAGGACAGCGGAGAAGCCCTCCGCTGTCCGGGGCGATTTAAAAGCCCCTGGGAAGGCAGGCAGGGGGGACAAAGACTTTTGCCCCCCGCCAGCCTTCAGAAGAGGTCCTGGACCTCTTCTGAAGGCTGGCGGGGGCGAAAGTCTTTGCTCCCCCCGCCTGCCTTCAAAAGCTGTCCGGCCAAGGCTTCGCGGACCTCTGCCGGCATGCCGAAGCCTGCGCGCGCTGACATCAGCGCGCCCAGGCTTCGCGGACCGCTCCGCCAGCAGCGGCAGGGCTGCCGCTGCTGGCGGAGACTTGCCGGCATGCCGAAGCCTGCGCGCGCTGACATCAGCGCGCCCAGGCTTCGCGGACCTCTCCTGCCTTCAAAAGCCGTCCGGGATAGCGGGAAGCGCTTCCCTGCTATCCCGGACTGCTTTTAAAATGCTGGCGCTGGGGAGCAAAGCCTTTCGGCCCCCGCCAGCCTTCCTGGACCTCTTCTGAAGGCCGGGGGGGGGGAAAGGCTTTGCTCCCCACCGCTAGCATTTAAAAGAGGTCCCCGGAGATTTCCCTATGGGCTTTCGTCTTGCGAAGCAAGCCCATAGGGAAATTCGTTTTGCGAAGCGCCTCCAAAACGGAAAACCCTTTCGTCTAGCGGGTTTTCCGTCTTGCGAGGCGTTCGTCTTGCGGGGTACCACTGTACTAGTTCCTCTACCAGTAAAAAATACCCTCTTCTTGGGTAGGTGGTAGAGAGAGTTTCAGTGCAGGATGACCACCTACTATTCTTGGATAATGCAATTTTTTTATTCCAGTCTGGGTTCAGGCCTGGTCATGGCAATGAATTGGCCTTGGTCACCCTGATGGATGAGCTTTACAAAGAGCAGGGCAAGCAGTGTGCAATCTTGTTCCTGCTTCTCGAATCTGCAGCTTTTGACACCATTGGCCATGGCATCTTCCTTGACTGGGAGCAGTCATTGGGCTTTTTTGTACACAATTTTATGGCTCCTGTTACCCCTTTAGGGTTGTCTGTCCTGAAACCATATAGGTCAGCAGTTAGTAGGACACACCACCTTAGTTGGCACCATGCCCATTCTGTTTGGAGTGTCATCTGACCCTAAGCTATTGTAGAGTAGCAGAAATCCTTCTGTGAGTAGCCTGCTTGCACAATATTGGATGCAACTTGGGGAATGAACAGGTGAACAATATTAGATTTTGATACACAAATTCTATTTACAGCTGTATATGTTGCCTCGTATGTAAAAATGATACTATTGCTTCAAGTGTTTTTATTTTCCTATTTTATTTGTAAGCTGTCTGGAGTCCCTCTGAGGGAAAAAGGCAGGAAATAAATACTTCCCTTCTTGTAATATTTTATGTCAACTGTGGTGTTTTGATGTACTTCCTTTTTACCTTTACCTTTGATGACCTTTTGACATGAATGCTCTGCTTTACAGTATTGAAAAAAACAATTAAAAATGAGTTTGTTTGTTTTTTGAAAAAATTGATTAGGACCAAAATGAATTCATGTTGTTTTTGCAAGTGTACTCCTAGATTAACTTCTGTTTATTTGTGTGTGTTTAAATGCAGTTTCTCCAGACAAGCCTGAGAATTTGAGTTGCATTGTGCATCAGCTTCAGACAGGAAGAAAGAAATATTCTCAAACTTGTACTTGGGAGCCTGGAAGATACACATTTCTGGACACCAATTATACTTTGAAATCTCGATGGTAGATATATATTTTTCAGTTTTAAAGACCTGTAGTTAATTTGTTGAATACAAAACTTTGAATTCTTAATATTTGTTGTTAAGCATACAATTTTTTAAAGGGAAGTCACTTGTTCAAAATATTTAAACATTGCTCTACACTGTGTCTAAGCAGCACAGTGGTCCTGCTAGTTTAAAAGAGCAAAAGCCAAAATAGGCAGTGGATGAGAAAAAGGGGACCAAAAGTACTGAATAGCTGAATCTTGAGGGACTATAACTTTGGTTACTGATACGGTTTGCAACCAGGGTGGATAAATAATCAGATTTTTTTTAGTTAAATCGGATATTTTTTTAAATAAAATGCTTTTGGACGAAACCTCTTTCTAAAGATAGTTTTTTATTTAAGTTAATTATTGTCCAAAAGTTATCCATCAGGAAATAAGGATTTGTTTTTAATTATGCAGCATTAATTTTATATGCAGTGTTTAAATTTTTTGGTAAATGAATCCATTCACTAATCCATTCACATTGTCATGTTCTTTCAGAGGTTTCTATAAGATTATTTGGGGCATTTTTTTCTAACAAGAAGATATTATCACGGATGCTTGTTTTTGCTGTTCTAAAAAGTTTAAATTTGTGTCTGCAGAGATAACATGCCTTTTCTTCACAGGAAAAATGTTATAAAATAAACATGCAGAGTTGAGGGGAAAAACCTTAATCCCATTGTTCCTTGTAAATTTATATACACAGAATCAACCCCTTAGCTCTTAAATGCTAAGTTCCAAGAGGTTCAATGAATAGATTGTTTGGAGTGGAATAGATCTGCACAAGTACCTAAGTGTGAAGCAGTAAAAATGAAAGTGCAACCTTGTGAGCAGAATACTCACAATATATGCATATTCATAATAATCATAATTATCTGTCTATGTATTTCTAATAGCATAACCAAATCAGTAATTTTTGATATAACTGTAAAAACTACTCTGAAAATTTATTATTCCAAAAATGAAACCTTCATCTGGTTGTGAATATTAAGATTATACCAGCAAAAATGACTCCTTCTCTAAAAAAATTATTTAAATCAGTAAATCTTACTGACTAGTGATTTAAGTTGATTTGATTTAAATCAAATCCATGCTGTTTGCAGCAAGATTTTTTTTTAAAGAGCAGAATATTTTGTAAGAGGAAAAGAGAGAACAATAGTTTGCTTTAAATCCCACCCACAACAGAAAACAACATAATGTTTAGAGATATCTACCAAACTTTTGGTTGATGCATACAAGTCAACCTACTTATGACTGGTTAGATGGTGTACCAGTTAATAATAAATAAATAAATAAATAAATAAATAAATATGAACAGCCACTTCCTATTTTACTTAAAAGTATTTCGATTAAAGCAAATTGCTTTTGAAAAAAACAGTCTGATTTGGTGTCCTTTTATCAAAGCCCCACCTTTAAATAAATAAATTTCTTTGTGATATTGTGGAGCAAATGCTACAGTCCAAAGCTCATTTACTACAGAGTAAGTTTCATTGAATTCTGCTAGACTCACCTCTGTTTAAATCTGTCAAGGATATGTACATATAGTTGTGGTTTTTGAAGTATTAGGACCAATATAAATTTTAGTGTATTCAATCCTGCTTCTTTTTCTCCAACTTCTAGGCCAAACGAAGAGTTCCCTGACTGCCTGGGTGCCAATAATTCTTGTACCAGTACTGCGGTTGTATTTTTTGTTGACTTGGAAGTGTGGGTAGAAGCAAAGAATGCTCTTGGGATAGTTGAATCTGACCGCATTGTGTTTGATCCTATAAAACATGGTAAATATATCAGCAGAGCCACTCCTATGAATGATTTCATATCGTCATATCTTCTAAGGAAGATAATGTTTCTTTATATGGTGAAAGAAGGAATAGGGTGGAAGAACAAGACCACCACCTCATTGTCATACTTCTAGTTAAAAGTCACACTGGGGAGAGTCTAAAAAATTATGGTAAACCAATGTGCCTGAAGCTGGAAGGCAGTGGCTTAGGAAAAATATCTAAAAATTTTAAGAGGACAATAGCTGGCAAAGAAAACCAATGAGACCTGAGAGACTTTAAGCAGGGACTGACCAACCAAAGATTCTGGGTTCATCAAGCAGCCTGCTCCCCTTCCATAATGGGATTGCTAACTCCAGGCATCAAAAGACACAGCTTCTAACAGTTGGATTTCTGTAGCCAAAATAGATACACTAGCCTTTCTGGAGGTGGCTCCTCTTAATAATTTTAGTTGCTTCTCCTCTAGTTCTCTGATAATGGTTGAGACTCATAGAATGGACCCGAATAAACCAAACAATTGGTTTAATTTACTGGTTTTAGCACAAAGCAAGTGTCACTTGCACTCAGGTCATTCCTATCTACTGTTTGATTTTATTCAACATAGTTCCTATACAGAGTTTGGGTGGACTGAACCCAAAAAAAGGTACTCAAATGTAGTTTTTTAAATAGAATTATTAATAAAATTGACCATATGGATTATATATTTCCCGTGTTAAACTAACTCAACTGGCATGATCCGAAGTGTTTTTTTAACATTTTAAAGAGATCTCGCCTGATTTCATAATGGCATCCAGTGATTAGCACATGTCAAATTTCAAAAGAGAATGCTAAATAACTAATCAGTGGTTACAACAAGCACCTTTGGATTCACTTTCAGCACCAGTTAGCTGTTTTGTGCAAGGAGCCTGCCTTCAAAGGGACTTGCTATAACTGATCAACAATTACAGGAATCTCTGTTGAAGTCTGTTTGGGGACCTGGCCCCCTCTCCTGTATGAACCTCTCCAGTAGTTACGATATTCAGAGCTCCTTACCTTGTTGCCCCTACTTTCTTTTTTCTTTTTATAAGATATTTATTAAGATTTTTTTAAGATATTACAATACAAAATGAAAAAAAAGAATACAAAATAAAAATGATTGAAAACCACTCCATTTTTCTATTACTTACTTTCCTTAGCTTGTTTCCCGGACCTCCTCATACCTCCCTTTTTTGTATTCCAGTTCAATTTGTTGGCTCAGCAAATCCTTACCCTCTTTGTTTCTCCTAATCTTTGGTCTTAAAATAGTAACATTAGATTTTTCCCTATTAACAACCCATTTTTCATATTCCCTTAAAGCATTACAGCTGGAAACCACTTAATTTCTATCCAACATCATTCTAACATTCATTAATTTTACAATATTTCTGTAGATAGTCTTTAAATTTCTTCCAATCTTCTTCCACCGACTCTTCTCCCTGGTCTCGGATTCTGCCAGTCATTTCTGCCAGTTCCATATAGTCCTACTTTCAGAGGTTAGGCAGGTGGCAAATGTGGAATAGGACCTTTTTTGTGGCTATAGAAAACTCACATTCAGGATACAGTCACTTTCGAGTTTTAGGCACAAACTGAAACATTTCCATTTTTCTGAGATTTTATAATTAGGTTGGTGCTTTCATTGCCACTTCTGAGTGTTACCCTCCAATTTTTGTTTTATTTTGCTGTTCACTTTTTTATCAGGTGTTTTATTTTATTGCCTTACATTTACTAGGTACATTTTTATACATTTTGCAGAGCTTCCATGACATCAAATGCCAACAGTATTGCATCTTTTGAAAGTTTTCCCTCAACATATAGCACACCATGAATTTCCAGTTAACTTTCCATAAACTTTCCCATTGTTTCATACCAATATTATACCCAAAATCCTGGGCCCATTTAATCTTGGTGGCTTTAACCTCCTCCTCCTCTTTGACATCCCAGTCAAGGAGGAATCAGTATGTCTTGGGAAGAATTTTTGTTTTGGAATTGATCAAATCTGTTTCCAGTCTGGGTGCCTCTGTCAAAAACCCCTTTTTTATCCATCTTAGATGTCTCAAATAGTTGATAGTATTGAAACCAATCTGCTATTTGCTCTCTTACTTCTTCAAAACTTTTTAGCTTTAATTTGTTTGTTTCTTCCTTTAGTAAAGTTTTGTAAGTTGGCGAGTTCCCTTCCGTATTTTTCCTTTTTACCGTGGTTGCCTAAACTGGTGAAATCTACCAGTCTTAGGCTTTAAAAGATCTTTATATTTCTCCCAAACTGTGTATGGGGATTTTCTAACAACAGTGGTGCCTCGCAAGACGAAATTAATTCGTTCCGCAAGTTTATTCTTCTTGCGAGTTTTTCGTCTTGCGAAGCACGGTTTCCCATAGGAATGCATTGAAAATCAATTAATGCGTTCCTAGGGAAACCGCTTGCCAGGCTGGCGGTGCGGAGAAGGGCTTTTCTCCCCACCGCAAGCCTTCAGGACAGGTACGGGAACAGAGGGGAAGGCGCGCAGCGCTTTCCCTCTGTTCCCGGGGCTTGCGTGGGAGGAGGGTTTTTCCTCCCCACCGCCAACATTCAGAACAGCATTCTGAATGTTGGCGGTGGGAAGGAAAACCCTCCTCCCACCCCAAGTCTTCAGGAAAGCCATCCGAAGCCGGGCGGCGGGAGAAGGTGTCCCTGCCCCCCCGCCCGGCATCGGAGCTTCGTTCCGATGGCGGGCGGCGGGAGGAGGTGTCCCCGCCCCCCCGCCCGGCATCGGAGCTTCGTTCCGATGGCGGGTGGCGGGAGGAGGCGTCCCCGCCCCCCCGCCCGGCATCGGAGCTTTGTTCCGATGGCGGGCGGCGGGAGGAGGTGTCCCCGCCCCCTGCCCGGCATCGGAGCTTCGTTCCGATGGCGGGCGGCGGGAGAACGCGTCCCCGCCCCCCCGCCCGGCATCGGAGCTTCGTTCCGATGGCGGGCGGCGGGAGGAGGTCCGAGGACAGTGGGGAAGACACGCTGCGCTTCCCCGCTGTCCCGGAGATTTCCCTATGGGCTTTCGTCTTGCGAAGCAAGCCCATAGGGAAAATCGTCTTGCGAAGCAACTCGCAAACGGAAAACCCTTTCGTCTAGCGGGTTTTCCGTCTTGCGAGGCGTTCGTCTTGCGGGGTACCACTGAATATGGTTCAAAAAGTTTTTATGTATTTTTACTTTCCCATATCCCAGGTACCCATGCCACCTGTACCTGTTATCGTAACCCTCGTAAGACCAGGAGGTTGGGATCTTAAAGTGTGCACCATTCATTTAGCCAGGTGAAACAGGCTGCCTCATAATATAATTTTAGGTCAGACAGGGCAAAGCCTCCTCTTTCCTTTGCATCGATTAGAATTTGATGTTTAATTCTAGGTCTTTTTCCCTGCCATAAAAATTTTGAGATTTCTTTTTGCCAGGTTTTGAGGCAGCCCGTTCCACCCAGAATCAGAATTGTTTGGAATAGAAAGAATAATTTGGGAAGCATGGTCATTTTGATGATAGAGATCTTTCCTAAAAATGAAAGGTTTAGCCGACTCCAAATCTCGGGGTTCCTCTTAATCTCTTTTCAGGTTTTCATATAGTTATTCTGAAATAAATTGATGTTTTTTGGAGAGATCCAGATACCTAAGTATTTTGCTTTATTGCAGATCTTTAAGCCAGATGTTTTTTCCAGGTCTTCCTTTTCTTACGTTGTTACATTTTTAAGCAGCAATTTTGTTTTGGAGAGGTTTAGTTTGAAGCCCACCACTTCTCTGAAAGTTTGTGCTCCTGTCATAAAGGTGCAAACGTTGTGCTGTGTACCTGAATATTAGACTTCAAATTAATTGTAACCTATATATAAAAAGGGACACGGGTGGCGCTGTGGGTAAAACCTCAGTGTCTAGGACTTGCTGATCGTATGGTCGGCGGTTCGAATCCCCACGGCGGGGTGAGCTTCCGTTGTTCGGTCCCAGCTCCTGCCCACCTAGCAGTTCGAAAGCACGTCAAAGTGCAAGTAGATAAATAGGTATCGCTCCGGCAGGAAGGTAAACGGCGTTTCCGTGTGCTGCGCTGGTGCTGGCTCACCAGCTGCAGCTTAGTCACGCTGGCCACGTGACCCGGAAGTGTCTTCGGACGGCGCCGGCTCACGACCTCTTGAGCGAGATGAGCGCGCAACCCTAGAGTCGGACACGACTGGCCCGTACGGGCAGGGGTACTTTTACCTTTACCTTATATATTAAAAACAGTGAAATGGCCTGTGGCTAATTGAGTGCACCTTTTTCCCCCTAGTAAAACCGCTGCCGCCATCCAATCTGTCCCTCAACTCAGGAGAACTTCCCAGAGTCCTAAAGCTATCATGGGAAAACCTATTTCATGAAGCACCACTGGAGCTGAGATTTCAAATTCGATACAAGATCATTGACAGTATAAACTGGATCCAGGTAACCCCACACCCATTATTTGTCAATTATTTTTTGTAGCATTTTCTTTTATACAGTTGGTGTGTTTGCATCCAAAGAGCTGTGACAGTTGCATTTTATCTACTAGAATGGTATTTGTTTAAATGAGAGAAAATATAGATTTCAGTTAAGTGTTCAGTGGAAACATTTATAAATTAAATAATGTGAAAAGAAATATAAAAAATCCTTGTTGGGAAAAGTGAAATAGAAATTTAAGAATAGGTCAGAAGGAAAATAAACTGTTGAGGAAGCTTGTCGATTCTACTTCACAGTAGTTTCTAAGGGATTGACAGGCTGCTGGCAGGATAGGAAAATAAGTTTGACTTGATAATTGTCGAAACTAAAAAAAAAATCCTTCCAGTAGCACCTTAGAGACCAGCTAAGTTAGTTATTGGTATGAGCTTTCATGTGCATGCACACTTCTTCAGATCCCACATAAGCTTTATATAAGCTTGTATATAAGCTTTATATTGATAGCAAATGTCTATCCCTATTGGGGATAGGTGTTGCATCTTTCAGAGGGAGTAATTCTGACTTTTTCCAGTAGTAGTACTGTGAGATTTGCAAATCGCTTCCAAGGCAAAATCATTTGGATTTCTGCTGAACCTAATGCTTCAGTTGGTTCAAGTCCATTAGTGGTCCCTAGAACATAATCAAATCACACCTTGTGGGATCAGTTTCAAAGGTTGCAGTCTGAATATTTGGGCAGGACACTTGTGCCAGTGAGGCTGACAATGTGCTCTCCTGATCCCTACCCATCATGGCTGATAAAATCAGGACAGGATTTACTGAATGGGTCAAGAGTGTTGGTAATGCCTCGTTACAAGAGAGAGTTATGTCCATCACTCTGAAGGTTATCCCCCCTGAGGTCCTCCAAGGTTTTAGAAAACTACCATCCAGTGTCTTAATATTCCCTGCACATATGCCCGGAGGAAGCAGACTACATAGATCTATTCCAATCTGGTTTCAGGTCCAGTTTTAACACTGAAACAGCTTAAAACATCCTTTATTAAAATATGCCATCCTCTGGCTGCCCTTGACCTCTCAGAGGCTTTTGACACTATTGGCTATGGTGTTCTTCTGGTGCAACTCAAGGAGGTGGGAGTTGAAGGTACTGCATTACAGTACAGTGGTTCCGTTCCTACCTGCAGGGTCACAGCCAGAAAGTAGTTCTAGGAGGCTGTTCCTCGGCCCTGTGGCTTTTGATTTGTGCAGTCAGGCAAGGGTCCATTCTGTCTTATGCCAGTCAACATTCTGTATGAAACTGTTGGGGACTGTCCTTTGAGGATTTGGCACAGTACCATCGCTATACCAGCAATAAACAGCTCTACCTCTCCATTCTATCTGAATCCGGAGAGGCTGTGAAAGTGCTGGACCAGTGTCTTGAAGCAATGATATAGCTAAATTCCTAAAACCGCTGAAAGGGAAACTTTAAAAAAAACAGCAAGAGCCCTTGCTGCAAATTCCTTCTCATAAGAATGGTGTGGTAGAAAAAGGAATAAATGCCACAGCAAATATAATGTGAAGCAGTACGGATCTAGCTCCAAGGGATACTTAATCTACTTGGGTCTTTTATGAAGAAGGGAGAAGGTTCCATCTGCTTAAGAACCCTGTCTCTACCTCCTGCTCCACATGAATTGCAGTACACATTAATTTGTGTGCTTTCACATGTTAAGACTATAAGCTTGGGATATTTTTAAAGACAGTGGAGGCTAAATTTTAGAATCCTGGTTTCAGACAAGGAGTGTGAACTCCTTGGAAAACTAGGCAGCTGCTTGAAACTAGTACTGGGCCAAAGTAGTGCCCAGCCAAATTTCATAGGTTTGAAGGATTGAGGGCAGAGTGAAATCTCTGCAAAGACTGCATTACTTATCACTAGGTGGCAGACTTCAAAAAGTATAAGATATATACTGATGCTTGTTATCAACATACTTCAGGATTGCAAAAAGAATGATGCAACGTAAGAATTATTATAAAGTATAGTTACTTTTTCTCTCTTGATAAGATGTTTAGCTTCATAAGCTTTCTCAGTTTTTTAATCAGGCAAAAAACACTAAATGGAGGGTGGAGAGAATAGTGACTAAACAATAGTGTAATTTGAATTTAAGTTCTTTATCACAATTTCATGTTTTCTGCTAATGAGGGTCATTCAAACAAAACATCTAAATTTGCCATGCTGATTTTGAGAGAGAGCTAGAAAATTCAGTATAGTGAATGTTGTTTATTCACTAGTAGCACTTCTTAAAGCCCAGTTTCATTTTGACAGGTTCCTCTTGAAGACACAGCAACACAGAGAGATTCCTTCTTCATTCAAGACCTCAGACCAAACACAAAATATGTGTTTCAGCTGCGTTGTGTAACTAGTTGGGGAGAGCACTGGAGTGACTGGAGTAAAGAAGTAGTTGGGTTCACAGCTGAAGATAGTAAGTAAGATTCCAAACTTCTCCAGTTTGCTCCGAATTGTCAAAATGTGTTTCTGATTAAAAGGTTTCTACACAATAAATATGTATACATATGTGTAATAACTATGATACAATATAATGCAATTTGTCATTTAAATCATGAGTAGCAAACAGTAGTTATTAATATTTGCGAATTTACTCTGGTGTTCGTTCATCTCTTATTAACTTCCAAGTAATGGTTCAGCATTATCTTGTACTTTATTTCACAATAGATGATGATAAAGCTCAATTTCTCAATAAATTAACAAGTTTTCTTCCTTCTCTTACCTTGACCAAATTTGTCAATTTTACCATTTGAACTGTAAATCATCCCTGTATCTCAGAGGGTTGGTTCCCCCCCCACCCCCAGTTATAGCTGATTACCATATGTCCAGCTGCTAATAAGTACAGTAGGCCTATAACTTACAAGTATTTACCTTGTGTACATTCAGCTTTACATGCTTGACAAAATAATAATATAATAATTAAAAAGGGGAACCCGGGATATTCCCAGGGGAACTGAAGGAGGCAGTGGTGCATCCGCTCTTAAAGAAAACATCATTAGATCCCTTAGATCTATCCAATTACCGCCGGGTTTTGAATCTTCCATTCCTGGGTAAGGTGATTGAGAGAGCGGTTGCTGAACAGCTTGGCAGGTTTCTGGATGAAACATCGGCTCTGGATCCATTCCAGTCCGGCTTCTGCGCTGGTCATGGGACCGAGACGGCTCTGGTCGCCCTAACAGATAATCTCTGCAGGCAGCTGGATCGAGGCGGGTCAGGGCTGCTGATTCTTCTAGACCTGTCAGCAGCCTTCGACATGGTCGATCACGAACTCCTGGACCACCTCCTTGCCGACGTGGGGATCCAGGGCACAGTCCTTCAATGGCTGCGCTCGTTTCTCTCTGGTCGGAGACAGAGGGTGGCGCTTGGAGGGGAATTGTCATCGCGCCACTCCTTGGTGTGTGGAGTGCCTCAGGGTGCGATACTCTCCCCGATGCTTTTTAACATCTTTATGCGCCCCCTCGCCCAGCTTGTCCGGAGTTTTGGGCTAGGTTGCCATCAGTATGACGATGACACCCAACTCTATCTGTTGATGGATGGCCATCCTGACTCGGCCCCAGACACACTGACCAGATGTCTGGAAGCTGTGGCTGGATGGTTACGTGGGAGCCGGTTGAAGTTAAATCCTTCGAAGACAGAGGTCCTCTGGCTGGGACGGGACGATATGGGATTGAGGGGGCAACTCCCATCTCTTGCGGGGGTGCAATCAGTGCCAGCACCATCCGTTAAGAGTTTGGGTGTAATCTTTGATACCTCCCTCTCTATGGAGGCGCAGATTACAGCTATAACAAAGGCGGCATTTTTTCATCTCCGCCAAGCTAAGCAGTTGGCTCCTTATCTCTTTCGCCCTGACCTAGCCACTGTGATCCACGTGACGGTCACCTCCAGACTGGATTATTGTAACTCGCTCTACGTGGGGCTGCCCTTGAGACTGACCCAGAAACTCCAGCGGGTGCAGAATGCCGTGATGAGACTCCTTATGGGGTCTTCACTGCGAGATCACATTCATCCGGTACTATACCAGCTGCACTGGCTCCCGGTTTAAGGTGCTGGTTTTAACCTTTAAAGCCCTATACGGCCACAGAGAGGTTGGGCTGGCCTCAACTAGAGCCAGGGCTTTCTCGGCTGCGGCTCCAATCTGGTGGAATGCTCTGTCACAAGAGACTAGGGCCCTGCGGGACCTGACATCTTTCCGCAGGGCCTGCAAGACAGAATTGTTCCACCAGGCCTTTGGTTAGGGCGCAGCCTGACTCCCTCCTCTGGCAACCTGCACAGAATTTTGCTTAATGGTTGCCATCAATTTGATTTTAATTAATTTTTATAATTGAAATGTTTTTAGAATGTTGGATTATTTGATTGTTTGATTATTTGATTGTTGTTAGCCGCCCTGAGTTCGGCTTTGGCTGGGGAGGGCGGGATATAAATAAAAAAAATTATTAATATTATTATAACCAGGAAAAAAGACTTTGGCAATTCCACTCACCATTGCACCCAATGTGTTTTGACTATATACAATTTCGGCTTTAGGCACGATTCCTAAAACGTAACCCTCACATGAGTTGAGGGCTTACTGTGAATCACCAGCTCTCTTATCTTCTGACAGAATCAGATCTTTGACACAATCAAATAGAGTAACTATTGGGTTCTAATGTCCTCTATTTCACAGATTACCAACATACAAAAAAGATTTTATTTTTGGAGAAGACCAAATTGTTACCTGTCTGTATTTTAGCATTAATTCTACAACATACTTGATTTGAACCCCTATAAATGTGGTTTAAACCTTAAAGAGATTAAGAACTAACAAAAATGGTTTATAAAACAATTATTCTAAGTTGATATTGAGAGTTTGATTTGGAACATGTTTCCAGAGCTATTGACATGTTCATTGATACTTGAAACACTAACTCTTATTCTCATTTGGATTGGTAGTTAGTACAAGATAAATCAAAATCCATGAACATGCTGTATGTATTCCTAAAAATTGGGCCTTTTAGCCCTCCTGGGTCTGTCTTTCCTTCAGATCACACAACTGTGATCCTTACTTCAGAAAAGCTGTAGGAGCCTCCCAGCCACTTTTCCTAGGTGCTTGTCCAAAATCATGGAGGTGATATCAGCAGACACATGCCCGGCTGTATGTCACAGCCAACCATTGGATGACTAGACGGCTGCTATTCTTCATGCTCCATCTACTGCAGCAAAGCACTTGTGAATATATATATATAGGCTTGAATCTTTTTCAGTACCCTACATATATATTAAAGAAAAATGAATAGTGGGCTAAATAAACATGATTCTTAAAAGAGATGTTTGTCTTTATCAGAACCAACTAAAGGACCAGATCTGTGGAGGAAGATTAGTCCTGTTCACTCACCAGAAAACTGGACTCTGGTGCTGATCTGGAAGGTAAATAGTACCAAATTTACTACACTCTGAATGTCTGATTTCCTGATGTTCTTACTAATATCTGTCATCTGCACTCAAACATAATTCCTGTTATATGTAAACTCATGATACCATAACACATACTACTGTAAACACTTTCTTCTAGGTGGTAGCTTCTTTCACAACATATTGCACTCAGGATATATTGAAGTGTAAGATATGCACACGTGTAGCTTATGAAGTAAAAGGCTCGTGTATGTCACATTTGCTACTTGTCCGTTTTTAAAATAAACAGGGATGAAGATCTTATGCTTTCTTAGTCCTTGCTTCTGCAAACTGCAAGTTGTACAGGTATATATGTGCCCTTCTCCGTAAACATGGCACACATGGATGTAGTTTCTGGATAACGGTTCTGTGAAATACTGCTTGAGAATTGTCCGTGTTTAGCTTACGAGGCAAAATAATTTTGAGTGGAGTAATTTATTCTCTTTGAACAAAGCTTTAACACGTAAGCCTGATCTCAGCAAGTTACAAGATAGTGTGTTCCTGTCATAATGGATGAGAAGCATGAAATTATGTTAGTTGGAGCATTGTGCCCAAGGCCAGATGGTAAATATCATGGCTGAGTAGGACTTTGGAAAAGGTATCATGCATAGCTCTGTAGTAGACACGCTTTGCATAAAAAAGGATCCTTGTACAATATTGGTTAGGATCTTGGTTAGCAAGTCCAAGAAAGGCTCTGCCTTAGACATTGGTGAGCTGCAGCTCATCAGAATAGATGGTTCTGGCATAAGTGACCCCTAAAGGTCTTACTCTCATTAGCTAATCTCAGATGTTCACATATAAACTGTCAAATAAAACAGATCTTTTTCTATTTTGGACAGGAGTTAAATCCTTCTGAAGCTAATGGAATAATTTTGAAATACGATGTATCTATCTTGGGAAAGCCACCACTTCATTTTCAACAGCAATTCTACAGTCTAAACACCACACAGCTGACTCTAAATGTAGAAAATGGGACATATGAAGTGAGAATTAAAGCATCAAACAGTGTGGGTGAATCTCCTGCATCAGTTTTGCTGATCCCAGCAACTAACTCAAGAGGTAAGTTTTCCTACATGGCATTGAGTATATATTCCACTTTTTTGCCTACTTCACACATCCCATTAGAAGAGTTGCATGTAAGATTAAACTAAATGGTCAACCACAACACTTAAGTGAATGCTACAGAAAAGTTTGTGCTGCACTCCTTCCTTGCTCCTGCTGCATGGTGAACAAAAAAGTTTGGCTTGTCATGTCATCTGAGCCCAGGTCCTTGGTTTGTATCTTGCTATACAAACTAGGAGCAGCAGCCAAGGTTTGTGCTTGCTGCTTGTCGTTTGTTAGGGGAGAAACAAACCTCAAGCCTGAGTTTGGAAGACACAACAAAGCCAGAGAAGTACAGCAAGAACTTTTTAGCCACATGTTGCACATTCACACTAAATCATAGTTCGTTTCTAACTGTGGTTTAATGTGATGTGTAAACTGGATCCCCACAAGAGGAGGAAATATTTCAAACTTACTGAAGGATGTCAGCCTTTCAGTTTCTGTTTGTTTTCAAATTAGCATTCCATCTGTCCAGTTCATTTTATTTTATTACATGTATAATGCACCTTTCTTCTGTCATGGAACCCAAAATGGCGTACATGGTTCCAGGCCATCTAGGTATTTGCCATACCCAGAACTGCTTAGCTTCAGCCATAAGGTGGCTTCAGATAATGCTGCTGCTTCCTCATCTGATCTCTTTTCTTTTAACTTAAGATCCAGGAGCTTTACAGGATAGCTTCTAAATGTTTCTGACTTATTTAAGGCAGTGTAGGCATTAGTAAATGGAAGCAAGCTTGTGAGACTTGGCATCTTCATTCTAACTTAGACTATTAGCAAAGCAAATAGAAAATACCAATACAGATTATTTATTATGAAGTCATAACCCGCAACAAAATAAAACCAATAATCCTACAAGCATCTGTCATGGATGCTTTAGCTGAGATTCATGCATTGCAGGGGGTTGGACTAGATGACCCCTGCCATGTCTTTAAAATTTATGAATCTATGATAAGTAAAATACTATAACAAACAAATACATTAAAATGGGTTGTAATACTTACAGCCCCATTCTACAAAAGTCTATAGGTAAGAGGAACAAGTGGGGATTACATATCTGGTATCTGTAAGACTTCCTCTGAAATACGTGGCACCACCTAACAACTGAAACAGGAATAAGTACATATTAAAAACATCTTTTCTTGCCTTACTATATACTGCTATATTTATATGGCAATTTCTCAGTGTGGTGGACCTGACCACTAACAGGTCATTTTTATTTTCTGATTTCGGCCATTGCAGCACAGTAGCTATCAAGAAGCAATGAAACCTTTATTAAACGTGCTTCAGAATGTAAACATTTGGATTCTCTTTGGGTGTCAAAACTTGATTGAATTGCAACTTACCTTTGATGCTGTTTGATCTGTGACCTTGGGCGTCTGCTCAGGCTTTATTAACATTTTGTTGTAGTGAAATATAATTACAACTCTCCGACAACCCCTTTTAGTTTTTTAATGTTTGAAATGTTATTCTTTTAGAAATAAAAATACTAATTTGACAGTATGTTTATGGTCATTTCAGCTCCTGTGAAAAATCTTACAGCATTTCCTAAAGATGGCAAGCTCTGGGTAGAGTGGATAGCTCCTAAAACTGATGTTAATAGATACATAATTGAATGGTATGAAGAATGTGACAATTTGACATGTGCTAGTGAATGGCAACAGGAATCTGGAACAAAAAATTGCACATTTTTAAGAGGTAACTCTCAATATTTATAAACTCTTGGATATTTGTAGAGTATGCAAACTTTTTTTATACCTTAAAGAAATGTGATTTTGGGGTTTTTTTAGATAAAAATGCACTTGTAATTTGACATCTTTTTAAATATAAAAGAAATATAAATATGTCTGTAATATCTGATATTTTTAGTGAGTCTCTAAGCTCCTGTCACACATGGGGAGGAATTCCTTTAGGGCACTTTTTATAGGTTGAGAGAGATGAATTCAATGTTACATCATGCCAGTTTTGTCCTTCTGTGAAGTCTATCAGTGTGTGTGCCCTTCTTTGCCAATGACTGAGCTCTGAATAAAATCAGTCTCCCTTTCATCATAGTCCAGAGGTGATCCTGCTTCTCATCCCTTTTGTGTCAAGGGAACATATTGAAGCCTGCAAGAGAGACAACAGAGCTCAGTAGCTACACTAACAACAGATGGGAAAACAGACCTTGGGTGTCACAGCTATGCCACGAGTACATTTAGTTTCTTCAGGATTACAGTTTTCCAGTATAGTTAAGAAACTCTCTAACACTGCATTTACTAGGTAGCTTCAAAGATTTTTGTGGAGAATGCTGTTCTGTCCCCACCCATGGATAGCTTGGTCATCGCAACCCCAAAAAGTTCCCTTTTAGACATTTCAGATGGAGAATAAGTATGAAACATTTGCACAATCACTTGCCAGCATGTCCTGTATAGCATCCAAGATTCATTCAGGTGTATTTTAGAATAGCTTCTAGGCTGTTCAGCTGACTTTCCAGGTGTTTAGAGTATTTGTACCCCACTCTTCGGCTGAAAACGCTGCTGGAGTGGAAATGAAGGGATATGATTAAAGGTATGGAGGAAATTGATGAACTAGTGTTCAAAATGGAAATGTCAGTGGATCTATATATTTGAGAATATGCAAATCTGATTTTTAAAATTATTTCCTTAGGAGGCATAAAGCCACGGAAAAGCTATAAAATAAGTGTGTATCCATTATATTCAAATGGTCAAGGAGAAGAAAGATCAATACAAGCATACCTTGAAGAAGATGGTACGTTTAAAGCACCAGAATTTCATTGTCATTTACCAGTATACCTTCAGGCTTGTTCCATATTAAAACAGAAAAAACAGCATTTTAATATAACAAACTTAAAAGATAAGCAATTATCTAGAATTTGCTCTTCAAAATTAATTTTTCAATATTTTCCACTAATAGCACCTGCTATAGGTCCCACTGTTCGCACAGCAAAAGTTGGAAAAACTGATGCCCTTATTGAATGGGAACCTCTTTCAGTAGAAGAACAGAATGGATTTATCAAATACTACAATATAATTTACAGAACAGCTACTGGAAATGAAACGGGTAATTGAGTTTTGCTTATCATGTATAAATATATGATTCAACTGAGAATACTTTTTCTAAAGGTATTTTAAGACTTCCTTTGCCTTTTTCTCTACCCAAACTCCAGACATTTTAAGTTAGCATTTATATCTGCAGCAGCATCATAATGTATAGTGATGTGGCACAAGTGTAGTAATTGCTATACCTCATTATGCATATGTTTTTTTGCTGGCTCATATTTCTGGGAACAGTTTTTTTCTTTTATAAAATCATTCCTTTTGACTGTGATCTATAGGAACTTTCAGTCATAAGTTAAGTTCACTTCCTTCCAATTACTGAGTCGGCTCTCTTTTAGCCTTTTACAACTTCCGTGAAATATATAAAAAGCTCTTCAAGCTTTCATATCCTGACAAGCATAATATGCTCTATGTGAGCTTGTTTTTGTGATCTGGAGGTTGCAGTTGATGTAGAATGCAGAGGATACCTCTTGAATAGTGGGGCACTGGAAAGTCATTAAGCATTAAAGCATCTGAGTGCTTGCGGACTTTTCTGCAGCCTTTTGTGCACAGCACCAGCTGCTCATTTTGACTAATGAGTAGCATAATCTAAATATCTTACCTCCTCCCATGTGCTCTACCACAGCCCCGAAAGATAAATGGAGAACATGCCCATTTGCCAAGATAGTAAGGTATCTCAGCAAATACTTTTTCATAGATTTATGCCTTGGAGTTTCTTCAAACCTTTTCATTTGATAGAGAGGAGGGTTTCTCCACACCTGCAGAAAGAAGGGGGAGCTTGTGGCCTGCTTCAGAAGTAACATTAAACCATGGTTTTGTACTACATGGATAGTGTTGACTGCAAAGGGATTGAAAGCACTTCATGTTTTAAAGAAACTTAGGTTTATCATTGTTTCTAAACCACGGAAATGCTGGTTGGTGTAACATATAATCTGTTAAAAACAAACTAAGATCAAATTGTGGTTCCTGATCTTGGTTTGTATAGTTTAACTAACGAGTTTCACCAGTTCAGGTCTAATGATATTTCGGTTAGTTTAAAAAAAAACTGGAGGGGATGTTTCCGGTCCTCTTGTAGTCATGTCTGGAGAAGGAAGGGGGGGGGAGAATACATGAGGTTGAAACTTGCTTCTGCTCACATAACACTAAGTCATAGCTTAGCGTTTTGTAGAACCAGTGTTCTCATAGCAAACTTCATTATTGGTGTGTTAAATATTTTTGTTTAAAAACACTTTTGAAGTTTGATCTTAAAGAAAGTGAAACATACATTATTTTACACTTCCTTTAAATTATTAATTTATTTAAATGAAGGTCACAAACATCTAACAAGATCTCTATTTACACTTTCACTTCTTTTCTAGTAGAGTATTGAACTTGAAACAAGTACTGCTTATTTGGTAGCAGGGGTGTTATAGAAGTTTTATTTACCAGGCATGCAAGTTGAAGTGCAGTCTTCACATTTTCTTTTTATTTGAATCATGAAAATTATAACTGATGGGTAAAACTGGTTTTGCTTGTATAGTGTTAATACAAGAGCTGTCTACTGTTTTATATAATGCATATCAAATGGGTGATTTTCATTTCCAGTTGTGTTTGTGGACCCTTCTAAAACGGAGTACCCACTGTCGTCCTTATCAAGTGACACTTTATATATGGTGCAGGTAGCAGCATACACAAAAAATGGAGGGAAAAGGGGTCCTGCTTTTACATTTACTACAAAGAAATTTGGTAAGTTCTTACATAAAATGTTTAATATGTTTAATTGTTGAACTGCTCAGGACCTAGTATGAGTTGGTAGTGCCACATGTCTAGTTTCATAGTTTAACCTTAAGTTTGTACTCTGGGACTGTATTCCGCACTTGATAACCCTAACTTGATCATCAAAAGCAACCATTCGTCTCATCTGAAAGGTGGCTTGAGTGGCTGTCCATCCATCATGTGATGCCATCTAGTGCCCAATGACAGAAATGGCACTTGAAGTCAAAGCATCCGCTTAAAAGAACTGGAAGGAATAGAATACCTGTGCATACCTGTGCATTGACTGAGTGCATTCCCTGTCTTTGGACGCTAGGTGGCATCACACCACACAGGTTGGATGGACACTCACTGAAAACATGAATTAAGATGGGTCAATATTACATGTTTTCTCACCTCTGCATATTACCTAGAGATACCTTTTTACATTATCTTCACATACTTAAGAGAGGTCTTTTGAGTGGCTGTATCCGGGCTTTGGAACTCCTTACAGCGGAGGCTCATAGACCTAGCCCCCTTGTTGATGGCCTTCTGTTGGCAGGCAAAGCCCTTATGTAAGTGGGCATTTGACCTGCCAGGGTGGATTTGTTCTGCCATATTGCTGTAATTTATGTTCTCAATTAGTTGTCCTTTCTTACGATTTAAATCTGTTCTTCCTTTCTTTTGATATTTTAATTGTATTACTGCTTATTTTGTGTGGATCAGTTACTTTTTGTTCTGGATTTTATTGTTAGTCACCTTAGGCTTTGCCTTATTATTTATTTTTAAGTAGGGCAAAAGTGTAACAGAATAGAAGAATTTGCTTATTATGCCTTAAACCTCATCTAAATCATTTAAAATTTTTTTCTCAAGCAAAGAAGACTAGGGTCAGGTTCTGAAAGACTTACTTTATGCTAATGGATTTCATATGATTTTAAAATATGATTGTACTAAGCACAGCAATTTTAGGAAGGTATTAAAAACATCTAACATTTTGTCTTTTACCTTTTAGCGGAAGGAGAAATTGAAGCAATTGTTGTCCCTGTGTGCCTAGCAATCCTGCTATTTACTCTTTTAGGTGTATTATTTTGCTTCAACAAACGAGATAGGTAAGCATCCTTATTTCAGTACATTGCATGGATAATATGCTGTATTAACACTGAAAGAGGTATTAGGCAAAAGTTCTGAGTTTGCTCTGATTTGTTAAACTGGGACTTGGATTTCCCCCCCCCCCCAACCTCAGGGCTGCATTTCCTCATGGGCAGTCTTGGGGCAGGCAGGGAGGGGCTGCTGCTTGACACTGGTGGAGACAAAATGCCAGAGAAACAGATGTTGTTCATTGGATAATAGGCTACATTGCAGCCATGCAAATGGCAGAACTTTGTACACTCATATCTCTCTATCCAGGCAAGCAAGGGCAACTATCACAATTCAAGGGCATGTACCAGCCAGGCAACAGCAGTGGAGAGCACAGGGTCAGGGAAAGGGGTATAGCTTGGGGTGGATCCCATGTTCACATTCAGGCCCTGAGCCTGACATTCCCCACCCCTGCTTTTTGTAATCCTACAGAAAGAATTTGTAACACTTCTCATATTTTAGTTGTGTGTGTGTGTGTAATAATTTACATATTACCTTTCAGCTCTTGAAAGTACCCTCAAGACAGTTCATAGCATTAATACAGCTGATGAGCAGATTCACAACGTGGTTGGAATTAATAGTAGTAATAATAATAATAATAATAATAATAATAATAATAATTTATTTATACCCCGCCCATCTGGCTGGGCCTCCCCAGCCACTCTGGGCGGCTTCCATAGAAACCAAAAATACACTAAAATATCACACGTTAAAAACTTCCCTGAACAGGGCTGCCTTCAGATGTCTTCTGAATGTCAGGTAGTTGTTTATCGCTTTGACATCTCGTGGGAGGGCGTTCCACAGGGCGGGCGCCACTACCGAGAAGGCCCTCTGCCTGGTTCCCTGTAGCTTTGCTTCTCGCAATGAGGGAACCGACAGAAGGCCCTCGGCACTGGACCTCAGCGTCCGGGCAGAACGATGGGAGTGGAGACGCTCCTTCAGGTATACTGGACCGCAGCCGTTTAAAGCAAGTCCAAATCCTTTAGTTTTAACCCACCTGCCTAAACATTGTTTGAGTGTGGGAGTACAGTTATCTCCTTTTAAGCGAATGTTCCACAGCTAGGGTGCTGCAGCAGCGAAGGCCGTTCCATATCCTAGCCAGCCACGCCTCCTATGGAGATGGCACATGGAGCAGTGCATCTGGCTGGGGTGTGGAACAGAACCTTCTTGGTTGTGTCATGGATTGTATGCATTTGTTTAGAAAGAAAGAAAACAGACTTTTGTAGTTTCTGGGCCTTATTGCTCCTTCTTTTTACAACCATAGTGATGCTAAGTAACGAAAACATTCCAACCCGGCCCAGTGCAAGTCTCTCCTGGCTTCCTTTTCTCAGTCGGAGCTGCCCTCACTGTGAAGCTGAAAGAGGCTGGCAGTGGTTTTCCAGATCTAGCATCAGATCTAGAATACTTGAAACATCCTCTGTCTGCATAATCTTTCCCCCTATTCACAAGGTGTGGCCAAGACCACAGGATCCCTGCTCACCTATATACAGAGCTCAAAAATCATAACATTAAGAATCTGAAAGTTGGAGCTTAACATTTATCAGTAGGCAATTGCAATGCAATGACTTTTCTCTTGATCCTTTGCCAGCATCAAGAAGCACATCTGGCCTAACGTGCCTGATCCTTCTAAGAGTGTTATTGCCCAGTGGTCACCACAAACGCCATCAAAGGTAAAAACAAAAACAGACTATTCTGAAGTACTTTGTTGTCCTCATCATTGTTTATTTATATGCTGCCTTTCCATAGTTAAACCACTAATGTGGCAGTAGGATGCAACTGCCCTAAGCAAAAGGATAGTAATGGTTGGGAAAGGGAAGTGAAAACAGGCTAGAAATAAAATATTTTATTGTGGAATTTAATAGCATCCATTCTTGGGATATGAGTATCCCTGCCACAAAACTTCTTCATAGTCCGACAGTAACTGTGACTTTGTGTTTAAAACAGGACTTGCATTAACAGAAACCAAAACTGAGAAACTGAGTCTTCAGAACAGTGTAGATAAGTTACAGGTTGCTCCAGAAATTAGTAGCTGAAAAAGTGTTGTACAGTTCTCTTGTTACGTTCAATTCAGGTTACGTCTTTTCAGGTTGTGTCCCGCAGCAACCCAGAGGTACCGGAAAGGGTTACTTCCGGGTTTTGCCACTCGCGCATTCGCAGATGCACAAAATGATGTCTCGCGCATGCGCAGAAGCAGGTTGTGTTCCTTTCAGGTTGCGAATGGGGCTCCGGAATGGATCCTGTTCACAACCAGAGGTACCACTGTATTGTGAGGGGAAATCTGAGTGGAGAGTGGCTTCTTGGCACTTGACCTCAGCTACAAATACAGAAAGAAGGGGAATAATAACTTGACACTTAAGAGAAAGGGCATTTCAGATATTAGGCCCAGAACGAGTGTTCACCGCCAGGTGCACTCCTGCACCCTTGAAGTAATAAATATGAATGCCTTTAGGGCAAAGGTGAACAGAAGATGGATAATGAATTTCAGGTAGATCTTTGGATGGTTTTTAGAAGATTACTGATGTTGCTGCAAACAGTTGGAGATCAGAAAGCAACTTTTTCCTTTGGATAACAGTGCTGAAATAAAACTCAGGGGGATTTGGAATGGAGAGCTCATTTCTGGTAATGAAAACAAATTCCTGGGCTGAGAGGCACTCAGAGGTGCTCTCATCTTCAATTCTAAGAACACCTCTGCCCCTCTTTCTAATCCACTGAATTGTGCTTGGCTCCAGCTGGTGGATCTGTGGGGTCTGAGAAAAAACCAAGATCCTGCAGGCTTGAAATCTGCCTACTCCTTTAGGGAACATGGAGATTGCTACAACAAACTCTCATGTATTGAGATTTAAAGATGAAAAATAAAAAGGAATACCCAGTTAGATGCAAGCTCCAGCACTTCTCATTTGAAAAGTTGTGGTGGAGGGAATTATTGTTGCATTTTTGTATCAGTAAACCAAAATGTCAGACAAATATATTGACAGTATACAAAAATGTAAGTTTCTCAATTAAAAAAAAAATCCTTACATGATAGAAAACATGGAAGAAGCTTAATATTTTTAATCCTTTAAGTAGAAATAATTAATTTGGTATCCTGGAGAGAATCCAATTTTATATACATAAACTTTTTGAACCATATTTGGGGAATAATGCAAATACAGCAGTAGCGCTGCAGTGAACTTTGAATAATTCAGTATTTAGGTGAGAGGGGGTTAAAGCCAAAAGACTGAATTGGAGCTGCACTAACACACTGCTCAAGTAACTGTAAGTCCTAGAAGGCGTTTTGAGTGCATGCTAACGACAGCATAAAATAGAACCTGAACATAGTTAATCAAGTTGCATCATTTAAAGGTAGCATTAATTAAATCTGTGGTTTTTTTCCTTAGCATTTTCATCATTCCAAAGATCAGATATATCCCGAAGGCAGCTTTACTGATGTCAGTGTGGTTGAAATTGACAAGAAGTCATTTTCCGAACAGGATCCTAAGCCTTTTGACTTGCTTAGAAAGGAGAAGAATGCCTCCGAAGGGCACAGCAGTGGTATAGGGGGGTCATCCTGCATGTCTTCTCCTCGACAAAGCGTTTCTGACAGCGATGAAGGCGAACCTGCTCAAAATACTTCCAGCACTGTGCAGTATTCAACTGTTGTACCCAATGGCTACCGGGACCAGATACCTTCAGTCCAAGTCTTTTCAAGGTCTGAGTCAACGCAGCCTCTACTAGACTCGGAGGAGAGGTCTGAAGATCCGCCAGTGCTGGGAAGCGACAACTCAACACCAAGACATCGCTATTTCAAACAGAATTGTAATAACGATGATACAGTCATGGATGAGCCTCATTTGGATGGGGCAAAACAGATTTCTCCAATAAATGAGGAAGATGCTGCTGGACCTCAGACTTTGCAAATGTGTAGCTCTGGCCCAGATGAACATGATGTTGCCTTAGCAGGTGCTTTCCACCCAAGCCCCAAAGGACTAGCTGCAGAGTTTGAAACAATGAGAACAAATGCAGTGACAGAGGATGAGGTCCCAAAGTGTTACTTACCACAGACTGTAAAGCAGGGTGGTTATATGCCCCAGTGAGGAGACGCTGCCACCAGTAGATACTGTTACATTATTGGTTCTGATAAGTTAAACTGTTTTTTTAATCTTGCTTCTGCTGAACAATTCAGGTTCATTTATGGAAGAAAACGTGGACAACATGGGTTTGCGGACTTTGATTTAAGTTGGAAGTTTCCACCCGTTCTTGCAGAGATATTCCTTCACGCACTACATGTCACTCAACTTTTCAGGCAAATTAGTTGCCATTCAGTTTTCTTCTGGGGCATCACACTTCTTTTAAAGTAAAATGGAACACACCTCGTTTGGTCAGAGGTAAAGGCATAGAGATGGAGACTGACTGTGAATACCTTCTTACCGGATGAAGAGATTAGTGTATTATATTATGAAATGTGCTCTTTTCATCAACTTTGTTGTCAGCTTTGTAAAAGTACAGTGTTTTATACTGGAACAACTGTGCTTTAAAAATAATCTGGAGACCAAATCTGTGGCCAAACGTATGGCAGAATCAGAATATTATATGGCATCTAATATTCCCAGATTAATGGACCAGAAACACTTTGTTTGGAAATGTGCCCTCCTTGCCAGTCAAGAACTACAAGCCAGTGGAGTGAGATATTTATATGAATCATGACTGTCAAAATGTTATTAACGTCAAATGCCAGTATTTCATACCCTTCCTGTCTTGCAAATTGAGCCAAATCTACTACCGTTTAAACACTTTTAGAACTCATAACCTGTGTACTTATAAGTGCACTTTTTTGCTTTTTATCAGGATAGATTTGGGTGAAGTAAACATATTTAATAATAGATAATGAAGTTATATAGTAAGTGTGTTTTTAAGCGGGAAAGTCCACTGCTCTTTCTGACTGCCAATGCCAGGTTCTAGTATTCCCTGCTGCCATTATTAATTTGTAGAACAGAAGAAGAAAACTGCATAGCCACAACGGACCCACAAAGACATCTTGAAGAACTGCAATATTGGCACTCTGCATGGAGGGTTTTCTCTTTCGCCAATGAATAAATCTAGAAACATTTCTTGCAGATTCTATTTGTATTTAATATAAAATCATTAAGTTGAGACTGATTTTTGAAGCAATCCAAAAGCACTACAATTGTTTTAACAGGAAATAAAAGTTAATTTGATTCTTCCTCAACAATTTAACTATGGTAGTGATTGTGTTTTGAAATCTCAGTGGCTTTTACTTTGTAAGCTCTTGCACTGCAATTGGTGGCTATGAAGATCAGCCAGCCAGTCTCTTAAGAATGAATAGCTGTAAAACACATTTTAATGTTTTAAGGGTTTCTTCTATAAAAACAATTCTGATTACAGCAATGTTCTTGGAGTTCATAAATTATAATAATGAATTTGTGCCATAACCACCTCCAGAATTGTTTTTTTATGTTGAGCTAATAGATTTCCTCTTCACCTGCTTGTAGTGCACGGCTCCTTAATGCCAATTTTATGATCCAGTTATACTTCATCCAGTGCTCTAAAAATGTAATGAATGCCAACAATATTCAGTCCATAGTTTATTGTGATTTTTCTATTTTTCAGAAACAAACCTTGCCAAGATTTATTTTGGGGGAAAGCAAAGTTAACACTGTGAATCGTGTTCTGGGTGCTTAATTAAACCTGCAATCCTAACACCTTACCTGGGAGTAAGCCCCATTGTGCTTTTTGAACTTGTCCTATACAGGCCCCAGTAAAATAAATGTAAGTTTCTCAGTGGCAAAAGCAGTCTGTTGTGACCATAATACAGTCTTCTTGTAGGGTATCACAAGTGTCAGAATCCCATTTTAATGCTTGAGCTGTCTGTCTTCATGTTAGTCTCCAACACAGACAATTTAGTTCTACAATCACCTTACTTCATTACAGTTAAATATAGTTTAAAACACGTTGTTTGAAGTTTAGACTCTCCTTTCCTTGTTTAGCAAGCTTACCTCATCAAAATTTAAAAATATTTTAAAATAAAATTAAAAAATGGATCTTCAGTGGAAGTACTCATGAAAGTTTTATTGAGCATTTTCAAAAGTTTGTCACAGGGTATGGTATGAGACAACATGGAACTATACCTTGCTAAAGCTTAGTAGGTTTAGGTCTGGTCTGTCCTGAATGGGGACTACCTGAGAGTCATGCGTGCCTTGCCTTGGGTTCCATAATGAAAGAAAGGCAAGCTATAAATTGTTTTCCTTCTCTGGTACTCTAAATGCGCTATCCCTCTTGGTGATTTGTTATGCAGAACACAGAGTATAGTCTTGACATTTATTTGGGAGGGGCTGTCTCAATCAAATCAATGCCACTAACAGTGCAATCGTATACATGTCTACTTAAAAATAAGTCCCAGAGTTCAATGGAGCGAGCTCCCAGGTGTGTATGAAATAAGAGTACAGAATTCTAGCCTTAAGTAAGCAATCCTATGCACACTTCCTAGTTCCATTGAAACCAGTGGGATTTAACTTCTGAAGCTTTCCTGGTGTGCAGAGAGGAAATGTCCAATCGCCCATTGCCTGTGAAAGTTGGGCTTTAGTTCCACCTGGTGGTTGAAGGCAAGATGAACTCTTGGGAAGAGGAAGCTCCCACAATTCAGTTTACTCCTGCCTTTGTGTATTTAATACACCATTCTAATGTTGAAAAAAGAGTTTTGAGATTTTGCTTCATTTGGCCGCACCAAAAGCTGATTTGTGACAGTAAAAAATAGCACCTAACATCTTCCTCAGGCATGTCAACACTAAATTGACTGAATCCAGTTAACAGGCAATGTAAGGTAAAAGGTTATTTACATGCTATATATATATGTATGTATCTTTGTGGGGGAGATTTCACATGTGACATGCTTATTTTCTGTATTAAGAAAGCCACACTGCAGAAATTGACCTTAAAGCACTGCTTTCAAAAAATACAAAACAAAAAAAACCTGAACACCTGTTTTTAAACCAGAGTTCTGAAGCAAGCTGAAATAAAAATGTAACTTTTTTTAAGGTTAAGTATTACCCATTCCTTTGTGAGAGATAGAATTGTTATGTAATAAAATTCTACATACATGTAATTTTGTTCATAAAATTCAAACTAATGTGGCATTAAGTGTGACTTATAATTAAACACTGTGGTTTTTATCATGCATGGATTTAAACCAGATTCTGTTCTTAAATACTCAGAATTAAGGCTGAGTTCAGTAGGACTTGCACATGGATGCCTTGCTTGCATTTGGTGTCAGTGGGGTGAAACAACAAAGACCATCATACAAGCTCTGGGTTCAGATGTTCTGGAGCAATGCATTCCCTAACTCTGTATAGCATTTGTACATAGGCTGGTTGCAGGGATAGTACAAATACATTAACAGTTTATGCTGATACATGCATTCCATCCTATGTAATATGCTACCCATGTCTCTCTCTCACCCAATACTGCCTCCTTATGTTGCTTGTTAGCTAAAGTGATGGACCAACAAAATGTATGGAGATATACCATGCTCTGTTCTGACTGCTGGGTGGAATGTTTGCTGGAGAACTTTGTCTTTTAAGTCTGCAGAAAAGTTGGAAACCTCATTTGATTTCAAAACAGCTGTGAAAATTTGATGCTGAACATCAGTATTGTAGCTTACTGCTCCAGACATATATCTGGTAAAGGTTCATAAACGCCTTTTGATTGTCAACTCAGTAATGCACACAGTGCTTAATTTTTCATCAGGACCTGTCTGTGCTGCAGCTTGATGCAACCATTTACAATCATTCACATGACTAATCACTGTACTCTAGGAGGAAGGTTCTTGTCTGGGGCAATTAACTAAGATGTACTTCCTACTTCCTGTCTGGCTTGGCTAGATGTGACCTGTTTCAACCAAGACCATACAAATGCAAGAAAATCTCAAAGATAAGGCACGGTCTTGAAGTTGCAGCCACTCAACTTCAATAGGTCACACTTTAGTGAAGACAACATTCCACAAAAAAAAGGAAAGCTGTGCAAACATCTTTCAGGCCTGCCTGGAGCAATTCCCAGAATTTCTTGGACAGTTGTTTCAGGTCAACTGACAGTCAATTCAGCTCCCAACTAAGCACTGACATGTAGTCAACTGCTAGCATAAACAAGCCCTTGGCCATCCCTTATATAAGAACATCTGATACCCATTCTCATCTCTATATAGGTGCATGTTTGTCATCCTCACAGTGTTGTGCAAACTATTGTTAACATATCTCTGTAGCCTTCAGTGTTTTTGGAGTACCGTATGTTGTATGTGTATGTTGCTTTTCTAGCTGCATAAGACTATGAAGTCATAATTAAAAGTTGTCTTTTTGTTTCTCAGTATTTCCCAGCAGTGTTTTGCTTTGTGTTTGATTTGTTACATTATATTCATTAGTGCAGTGGCTACAAAACTGTAGGTCCTTATATACTGCTGTGCTGGAAGAGAAATATTTTGGAAAAGTCTCACCTGTTTGATGCAGCCACCTCTGCCCATTAAAGCAAATTGGCATTCAAAGCATTGATCCCTTCTCTGCCACTATATGGGTAGCAACATCAATTGGAGAGAACAAGGATGCAGTGGGCTTCACTGAGGTGGTCTGTGCTACAGCTGAGTTAGAATCTGTAGCACAGGCATTGTTTACTGATTAAGAAACTCATGAGTGTGAAGGCTACCTCAAATTTTAATCCAGAAAAAGGAACTGGTCCAGTTATTAAAAGTATGGGGAAAACATAGGATGGCATGCAAGGTAGCCAACATGATGCTCTCCTGCTGTTGTGGACTCCTCAACCCAGCCAGCATGGCCAAGAGTTAAGAGATGGAAGTTGTGAACTACAACACTTGTAAGGTTGGCTATCTCTGCCCTAGAGGCCACTAGGTCAGAGAACTCTTGCCCCTTCACAAGTCCATCTCCTTTGTGCAGGACTACTGTAGATTCCGCCGTATTAGGCAACTGGGTGTATTAGACGACCCCCCCAAATTGGCAGCTGCAATTTGGGGGGGTCGTCTAATATGCCCAGTCACCTAATACACCGGGCAGCTCCGCGCCAGGAGAAAGCTGCCCAGTGCAGAGCTGAGCCTGCCCACTGCTGCCGCGGCGGGCGGCAGACTCCTCACCGGGTGGCTTTCTCCTGGCGCGGAGCCCGCCCACTTATACCCGGCGTATAAGGCGACCCCCGACTTTTTAACCTATTTTCTGGGGTTAAAAAGTCACCTTATATGCCGGAATCTACGGTATTTGTATTCTACCATCTTGTAGGAACTAGGATGGGTTCGGTGGTCAAGTATGCTTCCGAAAACGGGCTGTACAAGTATAACAACATAGCTTGACTTACCAGAGATACTGAAAAGGTTCCTCAAGACTTGCAGAGAAGCTGTGCCTCTTCCTTGAATCTGAAAGCCTGAGCTACAGTAATCACCTTCCTTTTCCCTGGTGTCCAGAAAAAGGCAAAGTCTGGAAAGCAATCTGAAGATGAATGCCTAACATATATTGTCCTCCTCCCTTGGAGCTCACAGAGGGGGAAGTAACAGGAATAGTTTACAACAACATTAAATCTTCTCTAAGATGTCACACAGGACTTGTGTGTCTTTAACGCAACAAACCATTATGCCCATGTCACAGAAGTACAAAACTGATGGCCTGGAACCATTTTAGTTTATTTGGTAACAAAAAGGAGCATCCATGGAAATTTGTCACATCCACACCATACACTGAATAGTCATGGCTTCTCTCAAAGAATCTTGGGAACTAAGAGGTCTGTGAACGGCAAACGACAGCTCCCATGTTTCTTTGGGGGAAGCCATGACTGCTCAGGTGGCATAAGAATGTCTTAAATGTATGGTGTGGGTAGAACCTCTAATGTTGCTTTACTGAACCAATTCCCCACTCTGCCACACAAAAATCTAGCAATGGCTAGTTATGTCCTAATGCTATACTGTATTATCTTGCTTCACAATAGAGCTGCGAAGTCAACAACTGCACAGACACTAGCAATGGCGAGTTGGGAATAGGCAAACCCTGTGGGAGTTATCAGGCAAAAGTGAGGTTAATATGAAAAACTGGCGTTTTTCTATTACCATTGGTTGCCTGAACTAGTCACAGTATACTCACATTGTGTTCATGAAATGGATTGTTTCAAGATGTCCTTGAAAGATTGAACTCCACTCCTATTCACTTCACTCCAGTCTCACTTGTTACTCAGGGCTGAAACATATGCTCTCCCATCACTTGCAACTTCATAACAAAGCCATCTAGAATTTAGCAGACTATTTAATGCTTTAATTGGCATTTTTTTCCAGCAGCTCAGAGTAGGATGGTACATTAAATAACAAGTCTCACACCAATATTTACAAATTTGATCTTGTTCATGTATCTTGTATCAATGTTTTGTATATGAGCAATTTATGCAGCATTTCAATATATACCATTTTTGTTAAAATTTATGATGTTTGTCCTCACAATAAATCTGTAGTGTACATCACTATTGTTTCCATTGACACATGGAAACTGGGGTCTTAAGCCATTGAAGCACTAGTCAGGTGTTCATTAATTGTATGAGCAGAGACTGACTGTGCCAGTTCCACATCTGACTTTCACACAATTTAAACGGGGCTTGTAAGCCTCTTAGGCTGAATGCAATGAAAGCCTTCCCCCAGATCAGGAATTCAGACTGCACAGTTTAACAGGTTTACAATCCCCATTCAGACCTTCCTGCGTTGAGCAGTTGGGGCAGCTACAACCTGTCTAGATACAATGTCTTAAATAGGCAAATTTGTGGCAAAAGCAGCACTTCTACTATATAGGAATACCAACAGGGCTGCCATCTAGAAAGGGCATGTAGATCTCCTGGCTAGGGCGTAGGTAGATAAAAAGGCTTTTTGGTTTCCCAAGGACCCAGGTCATCACCGCAGTTGATTGCGTGCCATGTGCTTAACCTCTAAAAGTGGCTGGCGTGGTCAGCTTTGGTAGTTGTGATCACCTGATCTGGGAATGCGATGGAACAAATTCCAAGTCCCATCCTTTGCTCATCATTTCAGCATCTGTTTGGACAACTAACTGCAATTGTGGGGGGTTATAATCTATGGAGTTTATTTGTGGTGCTGTCTCATTTCACCCACTCAACATCTACTTGCACCTTGCTGCTGTATTAGGAACACCTACCACCAACAGTATGCTAGGCAGTCTGCAAAATACAAAAAAATGATACAGAACTTGGCTTGGCGTTCATATTATCTTCATCAGAAGTGTGAGAACCTGTGGTGCTGAAGATGCTGGTGACCTCTGGCCACATTGTTGGGGGGTGTAGAGAGTTAGATTCTAGCAACATACATAAGGCCAGAAGTTCCAAAATCCTGGTCTACTACATGCTGTAATTGGTATGAATGGGCCCTATATTTCCACAGAGGGTTTGGCTGGGGGGGGGCCTAGAAATAGAAAAAGAGCTGCATAATGGATGGAGAAATAGCTATCGTACTTCTCATTTTGACAAGATCTTTGGAAGCTTTTTCTCTCTCTTGTCCTTTTTCTTTCTGGAAAGCCTAATATGCTTTCACAATCAGCAATATGCCCTAAATATATTAAACTGGTGGTTTAGCAACCAATAATGCCAAATAGCTACAAATGGACAAGTAAGCTGAATGAAGTTGGACTGCTGTCATGATTCCTCTACTACAGGAAAGGCTGAAACCACAACTTGGCTAGTTTTCAAATTCTTCAGCTAAAAACATTTTTTGCCAAACCTGACAAGTCTTCCTATATGAGAAGGTACATGAGATTCAAACATCCAATGTGAAATGGGAGTGGAATGCATTTTTTTTCCCATTTACCTATATGCAAACCAAGTAACATAAGACTCCACAGTAAGGTAGATTGAAACAATGGAATATTTGTACTATGTACGTTTTGGTATCTATCCAAATAAGGTACCATATCAGTCACTTGAATAGGATTTTTGCCTAAGGAACTTTGTCCTTAATGCTTTTACTTTTCTTTTTACTTGGTTGTATACAACCCATTGTATTTTAAAGTCATACCCAGAGGAGACCCACTGAAACGTAAGTCTTTTGACTTCAGTAGATCTATGCTGAGTATGACCTTGTGGGATACAGCCCCATGTTTATTATTGTTTCCTTCGAAGGAAATTCCATTTAACTTTTCAATTACATGCTTTGATTCCTTCCCCCTGCCTATTCAGCTATGCTCCCATGCTTACCAGGTAGGTATGAAATATTAGGGCTAAAATCATTATAGGGTTTTAAAAAGGTGCTCTAGTATTCTAGAACACTTTGAGGATTGTGAGCATTTTTAAAAATATGTTTTCGATCCTCTGGTGTCAAAGCTTCCCAGTTGACTTTCTCCCGACATTCTGATGGCCACAGAAGTTTGGGATGCAGAGAGATCGCCACCCCCTCCATCTCTGATCACTCTTTCTTTGGGTAGAGGGTGTGGGGGAGAAATATAGTGCCTTCATATGAATTACACTACTTTGTTTTTGCTAATGAACAGTGGACCATGGAAAGCCATCAAATGCTTGATGCCAATTTAAAATCGGACGGAGAACTTCATGTCCTAAATAATGGTCACAGCTAAACAGAGTCTGCAACACTCTCCTTGACTCAGGCAGCAGCAGCAGCATCATGCTTCTTTCAGTGAATCGTAGAACTGTAGAATTGGAAAAGACGAGGGTTATCTAGTCCAACTCCCTGCAATGCCCAACGTGGGACTCAAACCCCTGACCCTGAGATTTAGAGTCTCATGCTCCATTAAATTACTCTGAACAGGGCTTTGAGAACAGTTTAACTGCATCCAGTGCCACATAACACTGTCCTGTTACAAAAACTGGTTGGCCTTTTGTTCCTTCTGTATTTTGGCCTAAGAACTCTCTTGTATGGACCGAGTTTTTCAAATATAGGTTGAACTCAGTTTTCTCCTTCAACTCTGGCTGATCTTGAACTTCGTCATCTCCATAATCTCTAGAATCCACTTTTGGAGCTGGAATTGGTGGATTCCTGAAATCATGCCCCAAAGAGGTTGATTGTGCAAGAGGTACTATAGCTTCATGTTCTTCACTGCACAAAATCTCATGGTTGGCCATCAAGAAGTCTGAGGTAACATCAGTCTGGTTCAACCAGGTTTCAAGGGTCAGCGAGTGTAATTCATCATGATCCTTTCCACAAGGATCTACCCTCAAAACACTGAGTGTCTCATTCTCAGAGGGTGAGTTTCTCAGCATTGTCTTCTCCTGGGAGGGGAAAAAGAGAAAGAAAGAGGATGTAAAGTTAAGTAATTAAGTTCCTCTTGGGTCTTTACTACTAACAGGAAAAAAATGATTAAGTCTCCAAAATTTGCAGAAACTTTGAAAGTGTAATTTCCTCCAATGAGTCCTTCCCTTTTGGAATCTTGCAAATGAACTACAAGTAAGCCTGCAGATGAGCAACTGTCCATCTGTTACACTCATAATCTCACATTCTTTGAATAATCCTCAAAGTAATATGAGTGCAGCCTGCTTGCTAATAATCAATACCATGGAAGGAAAAAGGAAAAGTCTCATTAACAAGTCTGTTCTGTTCTCCTTCATTCTAAGGAGCAGATGCTGCCTGGTGACATTTTCCATCCACTTGAGTTCTCAGCCCCACTATAATATGCCCTAGTCCAGCCTGACTAACCTTTTTTGGCCCTAGAATCACCTCTCTCAGGGAAAGGCTGGAATCAAAATTCAATTTTGTTTACATTTTAATGAGAAGCTACCCAGTTCACATTTCTCAAACAAATACAAAGATGTCCTTAGAAATTCACACTTGTCCAAATTTTGCAATGCTGTTTTCTAGTCAAGTAATGTGTACAAAAATGCATATACAGTGGTACCTCTGGTTGCGAAAGGGATCCATTCCAGAGGCCCGTTCGCAACCTGAAAAGAATGCAACCCGCATCTGCGCATGCACAGGTCATGATTTGGCACTTCTGCGCATGCCGGTACTTCCGGGTCGCCGCGGGACGCAACCTGAAAACACACAACCTGAAGCAAACGTAACATGAGGTATGACTGTACTAGGGTAAAGTGTGCATAAAAATGCACACATTGTTGAATATAATATGCAAAAATGCATTATATTGGGGAAATTGCTTACAAAAATGTGTATATTATTCAGAACTGCTTACAACAATGAGTTTATTAGGGGAAATTCACAATGAAATGTTGACTAATCTTAATGAGGGTTTTTTAATTATTTTTTTATTGCAAATTGCTCTAAAGAAATGTAGAGAACTGAATCTAAGATTGGAAAAATTTACCCATCCCTTTATGAGGGCCACAGTCCAGCAAGTAAGCATGGTCAATGCATGTGCATGAGCCCACCCCATTCCATTTGCCGGGGGGCTGGGGTTGCTGGAAATTCTGCCTTTTACTTTGCACAGAATGGTCTCTCTAAAAGCCTGGAATTAAATAGCACTCTTCTGTAGAAAGTGATCTCTAACGATCATGCAGTAACTCCAGATCAGAACGAAAGACTACCTGTGGCTTTGCCAGCTGAATCAGGCTCACAGGTTAGCCACCCTAGCCATAGACCAGTCAGAAAGAGAGAAATGATAACCATACTTTTATGAATGTTTAAAGCACTTCACATACACTATCCTAGTAATCCTTGCAACCACCCTGTAAGTTAAGCATTATCCTCAGTATTGCAGGAAGAGGAACAAAGAGGGGACTCCTGGAAGAAGTAGCCCCCTCTCTTCCCTCTACCATTGGCCACAGTTCTACTTTCCACTCTTCAAGCAAAAAGGGCAAGTGTCTGTTGCTTGCCTTTGCAAGTCATCAGCCGGCAACAGCTGCTACTGGGAGCTGCTATTGCCTAATGGAGAGGGTGGGCAAGTAGTAGTTTGGTGGAGGGGAAGGGCAGGAGGAAACATAAGCATGAAAGGGAGCGCAGAGCAAAGCGAAGTCTCGTGCATGCCCACAAGGGAAGTCAGGTTGCAGGGCAGTGTAATGATCAGGGACAGCCCTGGCCACCGCACACATCTATTAGATATTATTTTTCTTCTATTTTCAAACAAATTATCACACCGGATCAGCAAAAATTATTCATTACCTGAAATCCATTGGGAAAACTTGGTAGTACCGGATGTGGGATTTCAGGCCAGCAAATCTTTTTCAACCTGCCAAAACAAAATTTATCCATCTAATACAGGTATTTATTGACACCTATTAACAAGAAAAACCATTTAAATTAAGTTAAAATCAAGCCCCTTTTCCTCCGTCATAATAAGTTTTTAATTTATGTAACTTGCCATAATTCAGTAATATGATTTCTCAGCTCAGGGAGTGGCTCTGCCTTTCCTTTGTAGAGGTTTGTTTTTCAGACACATATTTAACAAGCAAGAAACTTTTTAAAAAAATGATGCTTCCATTTACTACAATGCCTCGTTTTCACCCATATAAAAAGACTTATGCAAACATTTACTCACGTGCGTCTTTTCAGAGCCCACAATAACCCAACAGTTGTTAAGCATAGCATGAAAAATCCAACAATGACAAACAGAAGAATAATATCTGTCTCACCTAGGAGGGGAAAGAGGAAGGGCAAAATGACTTCAAAATACAAACATCCAAGAATTTTAGGTTATCTCAAAAGTAAGCGCCAATGAGTTCAATGGGACTTACTCCTGTTTACTGAACTATACTATATTTTAGCACTTAAAAAGGGGAGAAGGGGCTACAGTCTTGTAGAGAGGTCCCCAGTAAGAAAAAAAAGAAAGAAATTCCATCAAAGGACTTGTGGTGCATCTTCTTGTTGCACTTTTGACATAAATACTGAACCACATAGATGGCTGCTATAGAATGCAACTACATGGGTGTCACACAGCGGGGGGGGGGGGAGGCTGTTTGTGTGTAGCAGCTGTGTGTGTCCCGGTCAGCTTAGCGGGATCCCACCTTCGTCGCCAGTGAAATATACTCAGAGTCGAGAGTGGATTTCATGCTCTTTATTCAGCTCATAGTGGTGACGAGGAATGAAAGTCCCCTCAAAGTATCTTCTTTATATACATTATTTACACAATGGGCTGCACATGATTGGCTAACTCCAGAATTCTCCTGTAGGCCAATCAGGTTGTGGATTTACTTCCATCTGGAGCTGGATTGGGTGGCTCCTGCAGACCAATCATACTGCTGCATTGTTCTAGGACCAATCAGACTGCTGCATTCTGAATCCTATTGTTCTGGGACCAATCAGACTGCTACATTTTGGATCCTATTCAACTCAGTACATAACAAGCTTCCTGTCATGATACTGCATATCCTCCCCAGAAAGCCTTCAGCACAGTGCCCTGTCCATACAGTTGTGACCTGATTTAGTACTACTAAGCTAGGAGCAACGCAGCAGGGCTTGTGTATTTCAAGGAGGTAATAACCTCAGCACTAGAGGAGTGGCCTGTAAGAGCATTCTTACATGTATAATGGGGAAAAAGTGAGATTACGTACAATCACAAGTTGGAAGTGCACCCTTTCTGTGAGTTTATGTCAACTGTACATTCTTTCAATCAACAGAATTAAGGTTTCCTGGATTTCACTTTGTGTTATAACAGTGTTGGAGAAATAGGCTACCCTTTCTGAGGCCCAGTTCAACACACATTAAAAAGTGACCCATGAATAGAAAATTATTTGCACTGAGTAACTTACTAAGTTTATGGGTGATGAAATCTAGCTCTGTTCCATTGGTTCCTCCAGCCATGGTGCTTGCCATAACATGAGCTGTGTACTTGGTGTTAGCTTGCAAGGATTTAAGGCGGTATTCTAGCACATCAGCACTCACTGTTTCTCCTAATAAGACACAAATTTAGGGTTAAATGTTCATCTGGTCTAGTATATATGAAATTCTTTTAAGCCTGAAGGATCTTCAAGAGCCATACAAAAGTAAACAGATTTTTTTTTTACTACCAAGAGTTATGAGATGCTGCTGCTCAGCAAAATGGACAGCAATGACGCATGTGACAAAATGTAAAATGATATTTTATTAGAGAGAGTGGAATCTGCAACAAAATACTGCAGTGCATTCATGCCCCCTAAGAGGAGCGATGCAGATAGAAACAGCTTCGTGGTGCAATTCAGGCTTCTTGAGGTTTGTGTCTCAGGAGTTGAGAAGTAATCACAAACACTCTTTTTCTTCCCCCACTGGAAATATGGGGCTGGAGGGCTGGCAGCCCCAAGCCTCAGCATTTTATAGTCATATAGCACACACAGTAGTGGGTGTAGCCAAACTTTCTTCAGCAAAGGTTTTCAAACTATGTCACAGTAAGCCAGAAAAATAAAAACAACAAAAAATGAATTCCCCACATGTAATAACAAACTTGTTGACAAAACTAAGTTTGGCACCAGGTTTGAGAACAGACAAACCAAAGGAAACAAAGAGCCATTTAAAAGACAGGAAAAGAATTAAGTGGTTGGCTCCTGTTCCAAGCACTAACAAAACAACATTAACCCTGCATGATATGTTTGGAAGGTCCAGGGATGGGTGTGAGACAGCAGGTAGCATTCTGCCTCCACACCAAATCACATGTGCCATTTTCCCTGGCAGTTGTACCAAGGCAAACGTGTTGGATTACAAACAGAAAGCTTCCAAATTTTTCAGTTGTTCCTTTCCTTACCAACAATCCATGCCAACATATGGAGGCCACCTGAGACTAAAGAATAGCACTACAGTCGAACACTGCTAAGAAGTGGTATTATGACAGCCTTCTAACTTTCTGCCTCTTATGTGTATACGTACCCAATTCTTTTCCACCATCAGCTTTGTAAAATATAGTGTAGTTAATAATATCACCACGTCTGTCTGCTTTTTTAATTTCCTCCCACGTTATGGCAGCTTCACTTTTATCAAAATATTTCACCACAGCAGCAGGACCTTGGATCGGGCCTAAATGATGTAGGAAAATACAGACAACAAAACTTCAATAAAAGAAATGATGTCGTGAATGATGTTCGGTGTTGCAAAATGCATAGCAATGTAGAAAAACAAGTTTCTAAATAACTAATACAGTTTTACATATTTAACAGAACAATCCTATTGGAGGTAGTCGTAGGAAGGCAGAACCCAAAGCAGAGGAACCACCAGATTCAAAGCTGACTTATTCAGATAGGATTAAGGGAGACTGATATTTGCCACAGAGGCAGTCATTTATACGTACTTCCTTCTTGAAAGTAGGTTCTGGTGGAACTCGGCACTTTTACTTCACCTTTATGTAAGGGATACACTGAAATGTTGTAACATATATAGGGATTGAAGGTTCCTGGAGAGAGGGGAAACAAGATGCACAGAATGTTACTGCTCTTTCAAGATGTGCAGCAAGACTTTTAATTACACATAACATAATGTAACAGAACAGAACATAAAATAGAACAGAACATTCATTCACACAGAAGTAACAGAAAAGCCACATGCCAGAATCAGGACTTTACAAACTTAGGACCTTTCCTTTATGACATATTTTCCTTGCTATATTGAAAAGCAGTATAGACTAAGAAACCTGCGAGGCCCAATTTTTATGTAGGATAAAACCAATATAAATGGCAGTAATAGCTATTTTTAGACTTTTTCTTTCTGAAAAACGACTCCTGGAACAGCTGATAACCAGACTTTTTATGCCAATACAGAAATGGAACTGGACTGTTTTGAGGAGTTTACATTAAAACAAAGCACCATCACTAGATGGGATATAAACACTAGAAGTAAATAAATGTGTTTCCAACTTGTGGAGTTTTTCTCCAATAGATATTATGTATTGCTTGCAGCCAAGGAAATAAGGCTGCACAGTAGTATAAAGACCTTCATGTGACAGAAATCCACTCCCTTCTGTCTGTCCCTATCAGAATAGTCCAAATTTTCAAAACCAATAATCTGAAATAGCTCAAGCAATTTCAGCATGGACTATTCTAGAGGACTTTAGCAGTGAAGAACAGCATTGCACCCATGTGCTTACCACTCAGAGATATTTGCTAACATGCAACCAAACGCAAAAGTACATAAATAAATGCCCAACTGGAAACTGTCTCAACATAATGCTGTATTGTTTTAACACTAGATTGGGAGCTGCCCAGAGTGGCTGGGGAAACTCAGCCAGATGGGCAGGGTATAAATAATAATTTATTATTATTATTATTATTATTATTATTATTATTATTATTATTAACATCTTTAGATAGAAAAAATGGGGAGTGAAGATACAGAATTAAATACACTGGGTTTAAAAGATAGTCTCCAGAACCCTTACCTTTTGGAAATGTCCAGTTTGTGACATTTGTTATGTATTCCCAAGATCTGTTGTATGGATCTGTCTCCAATTCATTATACCATTCTATAATGTATTCATTTATTTCTAACTCTGAAGTTTCCCATTCCAAAAACAAGTGCTCCTTTAAAGCAGAAGTATTCAAGCTAAGAATCCTTTGGAGATCTAAGAGAATGATTGCTGACATTAGCAGGAATGTTGACTTAAGCAGACTTCAGCAATTCAACTGAATATTATTGTGATTAATAAAATATTTGAGAACAGAAGACAGAAGGAAGCAGAAAGGTATGTAGCAATAGCAATCCTTCCTAAGAAAACCTTTTAACATGACCCCCTACAGAAAACAAGGTACTCTGAGAAGCAGTACTCCAGTACAGTCTACATTTTATCAATACAGTATAGGATGCAAAATTAAATACACAATGAATAAGCAGTGAGACTGCATAGCAATATCCTTGCAGACAGGGATTCAAGTAGAAAGAGAGGTCTTGGATTAGAAGTCCCGTTTTCTTAATTCTACCTGCACTAAAGTAATACTGCTTACTCAGTATCAGATAAGTCTTGATATTTAGGTGGCTATTTAAGACATTTTTGTTTTAGATGTAGGCTCCATAACTAAGTATTTGCTGTTTTGCTCTTTTGCAAGCAAATGCTGCAACCATGTAATTGTATTTTAAAGAAAATCTGAAAGGGGATACACATTTACAAACACAATGACACATATCAACACCCGAACCACAGTGACCTATTACTACATTTTAAAAAATCACACATTTTGATCGCATAAACTCACTCATGCTTTCTTCATGTATTGATGGAATTTTCAAAACAGCCTCAGGAGAATCTCCAGCTATATTATGAGCAACAACACTGATCGAATAGGCTTCCCCTGTCAATCCGAAATAACTGGAATTATTTTTAGCGTTGACAGTTTTTTCAAAAGGAGGATTGGTTTTTGTAAAATACTTCATTCTGTAGCTATCTATTCTTCCAGAAGATGGGAATTCTTCATGTTTCTGTTAAAAAACAAAGCAAAATAGGACAGCATAGCAATTGAAGAAGATACGACTCTTAAGACTTGTGTGCATTAACCTGAGAAAGCAGTGCTGAACACAATGGGACTGCTGAGCAAACATGTATAGGATCACATACATTGCATAAAAACTAAAATGCAAGTCACACATACACACACCGAAAAGGACAGAGATGGGATCCTCTCTCTCCCTCTATACATATACACATATACTTCTCATGGAATCAGACAGCTTTGAACTATGCCAACCAGTTTTGAAAAGTTGGTTATCCAATAAGTTTGCAATCCATACACACTTGAGCTTACATGTACTGTAAAGGATTGCACTGTTAAATCTGGACCAGTCCTGACAGTTGAAATTTATTTCCATCTTTTGCTTACAGGAAGTTTACAGCAAGTGCTTTTGCACTGTACCTTGCGGTCTTGATTCACCAGCGATAGGTCAGCAAATCATTACAAATTTATTTACTGTTCTTATTTCCATTACTCTCAGGAAGCAAGGGCAAGCTGCTGTTTCTCAGCTTAATGATCTCCAATCCAATCATTGCATATCTATTTCATCAGATTGACATGAATTTTGCAATAATGCACTAGCAGGTTGCTTTCAATATCAAGGGAATAAATAAATGGTATGCCTATATATGCCACAATACCTACTACTCTGCAGAAAAAAAATACTTTGCACCAATTCTGTGCTACTTTGTGAGCCATACTAACACTCCAGTTTTTTGTTTTTCCTTATTTTACTGTTTATATTTTAATGTATTTTATTTATTTCTATCATGCAACACCCTAGAAACTTATTCTCAAGGGGAGCTCAGACATTTTCAGGATAAATACATAAACATCTCCAGGCAAGTTTACAACCTAGTGCCGATTGCCTGGCTTATAGGAAACGGAGCTTCCGTGTAGGACTTTAACACACATCAGTGGCAATGTGTGCTATTGTGGATTTTTGTCTGCAGTCACCCTAATTGTGCAAATTATTTCATTTAATACATCTGTATATTACCTTTCCAATTCATTGTTAAAGGTGTTTCACAGAAAAATAGAAACTTTACAGAAGGCATCAACAGGAGGGAAGGCACGAGATAGTAAAATCTTTTCCCAGAGCCTAAAGGAGAGCTATGTAGGTGCCAGTCAAACTGCCCTTGGGAGGATGCTCCATGGTCAGGGCATCACAATCCAAGCAGTAGAATCGCAGGCTTGTCCTCCAGTAGCCACCTTTCCCAACTCCAAAGCTGGGGACACTTGGAGCAGCGCAATGGCTTCACACAGATGTACTGCTTTGTACAATCTGGGGCTTCACACAATCTCTGCAGAGTTGCAACACCACTACAACATGTGTACACTCCCATAAACTATTGTAGGAAGTTGCAGGGTGTATAAGACCAACTGATTTTGAGTCCTGACCACTATCCTGCCACTTGCTTCTGCTTTTGGCAATTTTTCTCCCCAACATTTATGCAACCATTGGGGGGGGGAAACAACAACACCAGCCAGGATTCTTAAGATTTCTGTATGATATTGCAAGCTACACTGAAGAATCTCATGAACCAAAGCATGGACCATATTTTTCCAACGCCTGATTTTAAAAAGTTCATACACACACATACATTTCCCATGCCCGACTCTCCTGAATAGTATCCTAGTAAACTAATATGGACACCACCACAGATAATCCACCTTTATTCATGAAAACAAATAATTCCTTCACAGAATTCAGCAAAACAGGTTTTTTTCTCAGAGAGATGTTTGCTGCTAAAAACAAAGCATCACTGGGAAAGTCTATTCAGAAATCAGAGTAATCAAAATGACAGAGGTGTTTGCCAGTGCAATGGCATGTATATGCATACGAGTTAGAGTGATAAAAAGTACGTAGTGACTCATCTCAAACATGAAAAATACCAATTAACATAGTATATAGGCTACTGAGTTGTATCAGAAATAATCAAACCTGATAGCACATTCACCATTCAAATACTAAACAAAAAAAAACCCCAGAATCTCAAGTGTCAATTTTTTTTACCTTCCACAAAAGGTGCACAGTTCTTCTTCCAGTGGGCTGATGCGATTCAAGTACTCGCCACAAGTCTACTTTCAAGGGAGCTATCAAAATTAATACATCATAATTAAAAATATAGAAATAAAAGGCATGAACAGACTATTCCTATAGCCCACCAAGATAGCCACTTCTATGCTGCTAAAAAGCTAGTTAGTATCATATTCTCATCCTGCAGCAAGTGGATATTCAAGAATAGCACAAGAATAGCACACATAACAACTAGTTCTTTGCTGTTATCCAAAACTGGGGAGGCTGTCTATGAACAACTCCCCTAGCAACTGGGTGCTGGAACACCATGACAAGCTGGCAACACTAAACACATACACTTTCCCTCTAGACCAGTGGTTCCCAAACGTGGGTTTTTTTGGCCATGCCCCACCTAAGCATCTCTAAAATCCTGGTCCCTCCCCCCCCCCCGTGACATATGGTTCTTATTATTCAAAAAGTGAACTCCTATTCATGTGGAGGAAACCTAAAAGGCCATTCATTTGCCCCCCTTAAAAATGAAATTGCCCCCCGTGGGGCATGTCCCCCATGTTGGGAAGCACAGCTCTAACCATATTCAAGAGTAAATGACTGGAAACAGCAGCAATATCCAATACTAATACTGAATATTATTATTATTATTATTATTATTATTATTATTATTATTATTATACTCCGCCTATCTGATTGGGTTGCCCCAGCCACCCTGGGCAGCTCCCAACAGAATACCAACAACAACAATGAATGATATAACCAAATAACAGTGTGAGATATCCTATTTAACATATACAGTACAGTATAAACATTCACTGTGGATTCCATAGAGATGGAATTAGTCTTGGATATATAATAATAACAATAACAATAATAATAATAAACTGAATTAACATAAACTGAAGTTTTTTTAGGTTCTGTAAACATAAAACTTAGCAACAGCATCAAACTGTATCAGCATTTTTGCTTACCTTGTTCTTCTGTTGCTCCCATTTTTTCTGCACTCCACTCACTCCAAAACTTCGAGTCATTATGAGCGCACCGAATGTCAACAGTATAGTTTGTACAATCCCACAGATTTGTGAGATCAATTGTTGCACTGTCTTCTTCCATGAAGTAATCTTTCTGGAAATTGGATAGAAAAACAGTTTTCTTTCAAAGAACACAGCAAATATCATCAATCAATCAAACCTTTATTGCATTAGCATACAGCCATAGCAGGATAAAACAAAAATGCTAGAGACAAGCAACCAAACAAAATTCAAAGCGATATTACTGGCGTTACAGCAAATATCATAGGAGGTAAAATATAAATATTACAGCAAATATCATAGGAGGTAAAATATAAAAGCCATGGTATCTCTTGTTATCACTTGCATCCATATTCTTACATTCCTCACCCCCCACCCCAAGTGTGGCTCAGATGGTAAATTCTACTTGCCAAAACTGGCATGCATTCTTGGCTAAAATAACTGCTTACCAAAAGACAGCACACGTGTGTGTGTGTGTGTGTGTGTGTGTGTGTAGGGAAAGTTCGGAAAAGGGCAACCAAACTGATTAAGCAAATGGGGAAACTCTTTCAGGAAAAGTTAAAGCATTTGGCACTTTATAGTTTTAGAGAAAAGGCAAGTAAGAAAAGACGTGATGAAACTGCATAAAATAATGCTAGGAGGAGCGGACTGAGAAGATGAGACCAACATGGGCTACATGCCTGTAGTCATATGAGCTGGAAAAATTGCTACTCACTTACAATTCAACTTACCATGCCATTTTCCTTTATGGATTTATAACGAATTTGGCACCTCGTATTGTTCTCAGCACTTCGAGGCATATACCGAGGTTTAACCCAATGAACTCTTAGTGTTTGCTTCATCCCTGGAACTGTTCCTATTTTAGTTATCTGAGGAGGATCAGACTTCACTGGAATTGAAAAAGAAAGTTCTCATGCTTTCAGTGCTAACAATTTTACAACCAATCCTACCGGCAGTAGCAAGAGAGATTCTGCTGGAATGGAGAGTGGGGTAGGCTGCACACTTGAACCGCATTGCAGAATTTATATTTCATTTCTAAGCACAGCTATAAAAAGATAATTAAATTACTTCTGTTCGGTGGAGGGGGACTGATGAACCAGATCAATGTGATGCAACACCACTGCCACACTTGGAATTAAACCCAGCTGGGTTGGAGGTAGAGGCAGATTGTTGTTGTTGTTCTTACAGTAGACCCTCTGGATACAGATTTAATTCATTCCGGGGGTCCATGCTCACCCGAAAAATCCATAACCGGAGGCGCCGCTTCTGTGTGCACACGCAGCGCGATAGAGCGCTTCTGTGCATGTGGCGAAACCTGGGAAAAGACTTCCGGGTTTGCTGCTTTCGCAACCCGAAGATTACCGTATTTTTCGCACCATAGGACGCACTTTTTCCCTCCTAAAAAGCAAGGGAAAATGTGTGTGCGTCCTATGGAGCGAATGCAGGGGGGAGGCAGGCGGGAAAAGCCCTCAAGAGCCGCCGCACACAAGCTTCGTGCGCTCTTGCGGGCTTTTCTCCAGGAGGGAGAAGGGACTGACTGGCTGTTAGCAGTCCCTTCTCCCTCCTGGGGGAAAAGCCCCCAAGAGCGGCGCCCTCTTTAAAGGCTGTGCGGCTCCTGCAGGCTTTTCTACGAGGTGGGGGAATCCGCCCACCTCCCAGAAAACCCAGGAGAAGCCGCACCGCCCCTTTAAAGAGCGTGCGGCTTCTGCGGGAGGTGGGGGAAGCTGCAGCAGATTCCCTCCTCCCGGGTTCCCTTTGAGGCGGCAATGTGGGAGGGGAGCAGCTTACACTCGTGTAAGCAGCTCCTCTCCCACTTTCCTCCTTCAAAGCAACTACGGAGGAGGGAAGGAAGAGGACCATGGATCCTCCGCTGCTGGAGGCTTCAGCAGAATCCCCCCTCCGTGATTGCTTTGAAGCAGGAAAGTGGGAGGGGGGCAGCTTACACTCGTGTAAGCAGCTCCTCTCCCACTTTCCTCCTTCAAAGCAACTACGGAGGAGGGAAGGAAGAGGACCATGGATCCTCCGCTGCTGGAGGCTTCAGCAGATTCCCCCCTCCGTGATTGCTTTGAAGCAGGAAAGTGGGAGGGGGGCAGCTTACACTCGTGTAAGCAGCTCCTCTCCCACTTTCCTCCTTCAAAGCAACTACGGAGGAGGGAAGGAAGGGGACCATGGATCCTCCGCTGCTGGAGGCTTAAGCGGATTCCCCCCCCCCAGCTTAAGTGGGGTGGGGGAAGTGTGGCAGGTAGGGGGGTACCTACCTAGACAGTGAAGCCCCGTGTCTCTCCAATGAAAATTGGGAGTGGGCATTGTGTGAAGTGGCTGTGGATCTCCTGCCGCAGAACTGTAGGACTGTATAGAGTTGGGAGGGCCACCCGAGGGTCATCTAGCCCAGCCCCCTCACAATGTAGGAATCACAGCTAAAGAACGCCAGGCAGATGGTCCCCCAACCGCTGCTTAAAAGCCTCCAGTGGTGGAGACCCCAAACACCTTCCGAGGTCATAGAATTGCAGGGTTGGAAGGGAACCCCAGGAGTCATCTAGTCCAGCCCCGGTGGACAGCATGTGCAATCCATCCCGTTGCGCAAGACTAAAGATGCTGCGCAAGGCTAAAGAAGAAGCCAAGGCAGCGAGCGGGATGGATCGCGCTTGCTGCCTTGTCTTCTTCTTTAGCTGCACTGGAGAGGTTTAGCTCCTGGCTGGAGAGGTTGTGCGGCTATGGACCCCGCGCGCTGTCTTGGCTTCTTTGCTCTTTGGGGCTGGGGGGGGGAACCCGGGATTCCCCCGCAGCCCCGAGAAGGTCTGGGAGAAGTGGACAGGCTGCGTGCAGCCTGTCCGTTGCTCTTTGGGGCTGGGGGGGGGGAATAATATTTTTTTCCTTGATTTCCCCCTCTAAAAACTAGGTGCATCCTGTGGTCCGGTGCGTCCAATAGAGCGAAAAATACGGTATGTATCCAGAGGTACATAACCCAAGGGTCCACTGTATTTCAATTTATAAACCACCTTTATCTTCCAAGGATCTCAGGTGGTGTACATGGTTCTCCTCCTCCCCATTTCATCCTCACAACAACCCTTTGAGGTAGGTTAGACTAAGAGATGGTGACTTAGTGAGCTTCATGGCTGAGTGGGGATCCAAATCTTGCTCTCCCAGGTCCTAGTCCAACACATGAACCATTACGCTACACTGGCTTTCAGATGGTGATAGCAAGAGCTGGCAGGTATGAGGGACAGGACCTTCTTCAAGGTACAACTGTTATTATGGAACTTCCCTCTCCAAGATATACAAGCAGCTTGCCCTTTAGTTTTATTTAGGCAGGCACTGTTTTCAGTGAAAAAAATCCACATAGGAATGTAGATTTATGCAAAATAGAATTCTTCAGCAGGGTGCTGTCGGTGTACTAGAGAGACTGGGCTAGTACCCTAAATGTTCCTGGTAACTTAAGAGTATTAAAGTATTAAAGCTTGTTGCCTCCTTCTCAAAGCCTAGGAAGCTTCTGATCTGCTTAGGGAGAGAGATGCAATGCTCCAAGGGGGTCCAAGAGACTTTCTACCATCTTCCCTAAGCCCGCTCGGCTTTGGTAAGGAGGCAGCAGGGCTCCAGTATCCTGTCAGAGGCCTGGCAACTCCTTCCCAAAGCCCAGGAAGCTTCTTCCCAGCTTAGAGAGGGAGGCACAATGTTCATGCGCATGGCATTGCCCTGCCCCAATCACTTAAGCTGGCGCCTCTGGCCCTAAATGTTATCCTACGAAAATGTTCACTGCACGCCACTGGAATTCTTTACTCTCTGCAGTAGCAAAAAATGTATTGCATAAAAACTGGTTGCTCAAACACAGTCTATTTTTCTCATGTTTTAAATTGTTTATAAACTTACAAATTTTTGTAGAAATTATGCAAACAGGCTCTGAGGTTGCTTCCCCCAAGCGATTTCTTGCTGTCACCCGGACACGATATTCCCGAGCAGAAATTGGTTGATTGAATATTGTACATGAATCATTTTGGGTTGAGCAGCTTTGTATCTCATCGCCTACTAATGTTGAAGCCCTTTTCACTGAGCAGTTTTCTTCCTCATTCGGTGCTAACATCCTGTTTGTGAAAAATTCAGGCGGTGGGAAGAAGAAGAAAATTAGTAAATATTTTTTGGGGAAGAAGTGGTTAAGAAGCTCACTTTAGAATCAAATCCAGGACTGAAATATGTTGAGCACAATTTAGAAAAGAACAGTAAAAGGTGAATTATGCTTTTAATGACAACCAAAAGTTGAGAACATTCAAGTGCCACAGATTTCAACAGAAGAAATTTAAACCGTGTGTTTTTCCCTCCCACAGAAATTAAAAGGATGAAAATGTGTATTTACATGGGTATTTTTATTTTTATTTTTAAAGATCTTTGTATGTATTGGTAACCACACACAGCTGCTTTGAAGATAAAAAAAATGGCAGCCATTTGTACTATGCCACACCACACTCACGGCAACCACTTCATGGCCACAACATGTTTTCAGAATTCCAGGTGTGCCCATGGACCCCAAAAATCTTGGCAACTCCATGTATCATTGAAAGATGACCAGCTGAATGAACCTTGGAGGTTATGGTTGAGGCCATGGAGCAGCACTGCCCAAGCAGATATAGAGACAGAGTTGGCCTCTGAGTTTGCCACTGTGTTTGCATCTCGTTGGCTGCCCTGTTTGTGATGAATAGCTATTTAAGATTACTGGGGTAATCCAAAAGCAGTTAAACTAAACATTTGATTAAAGGGAGGAAATGCAATTATCTAACTCACATGCTACACGCTTTGCATAACATTAGCAGCCAACCACTTAGCACTTACTGTTTAGTGAGAGTATAGACTGTTTCAGGGTTCCTCTCATATGTCCATGTGCAAGTAAGAGTTGAGCCACTTTTGTAATAAAAGATGCAGAAAATAATTTCAGGAGGCCGTGGAGGAACTGCAACCAAGAAAGGCAAAACAATACATTTCTCAGGTATTTGAATGACCGGCTTCATTTGGTAAAAAGACTTTAAACTACTTGGCATCAGTAAAATCTTACAATTTACATCTTTTAAAATATTACACCCACCAGGATCCCATTCTATGTAAATATTGTCAAAGGTTCTTAAGTATTGTTAAACTGCTTAAATCACCCATTTTCAGTTCAAGACTTTTAAGCTTACTTACACCCTGATCTAACTTCAGAGTGAGCCAGGTGTTGCTTTTTAACCGGAGAATCAACAAAACATTTAACGTGAGCTCTTCCATAAGTGAAATTATGAATAACTACTCCAGAGACAGAATCATTGATAACTTGGTAGTTTTCTTCTGCAATCACAACATCATTCAGTGTCCAGATGATATGACTTGCATTTTTATAAGGAAAAAGTTTTTTGCCCAGTCTACAAAAAACTTTCAAGGTAGAACCACTTTCAATTAAAGGGGATGAAGGAAAGATGTGAGCCACAGCATCTCGATCTATTTTTAAAGAAAAATCACTTAGATCAGTTATACTAAAGCAAAACACAAAGCAACACAGCAGTGACGGGAAAATGAACAAAGAAGACACTATTCATGTATATACAGTTCTACCTCGTCCCTTTAAGAGACTCAACTATTCAATACTACCCCTCATGCTCGGGATACACATGCTTTAATTCCCCGTGTAGTTTTTCATAATAGGGAATATTGGACATTTCGCCATCATACAAAGACTTAGAAGCCAGTTTAGACTTCACACATTTCCCAAACTTCTTTGTGTCATCCAGGGCCAAACTAGACACAGCATAAACAAGTAATATCAGTGTGTGTTTGCTTTTTGAATAGCAGATGTGGTTTGGGACTGTATAGCACACATGATAAGTGGGTTTTCCTCCCCCACAGTGGTATTAGCAATTGACCTCACCACCTTATTTGGGATTTAGTCCAGTTAATTTAGAAGCTTTAAACTGTTTATACAGTCAAACCTTGGCTCCCGAACGCCTCCGTTTCAGAACATTTTGGTTCCTGGGCGCTGAAAACCCGGAAGTAAATGCTCTGGTTTTCGGAAGCTGGGTGTCCAATGTGGCTTCTGCTGAGTGCAAGAAGCTCCTACAACCAATCGGAAGCCGCACCTTGGTTGTCGAATATTTCGGAAGCCTATCAGGCTTCTGGAACAGATTACATTCGACAACCGAGGTTTGACTGTATATGGATCACCCACCTTCATTCAAGAAAGCAGATTTCCTTACTGCCCATCCTAACTAAATGCTTAATAGGAATTTTCTTCTAAGCTAGTTTGCAATCCAACAATAAGTAGAGAAAAGGTTCAACTTACCCGCTAAACAGAAGTTGCAATGCATGGTTAAGATCCCAAGCATAGTATATAAAAATTTATTTAGAATCATTGTGCGTAGGCAGGAAACACTGTAACAAAATTAAGATTTTTTTTCTCCAATAAAGTCAGTAATGCTGCTGTATTATATAGTATATATTTCTATCTGGTGAGCATACCATTGCAGTTAATAATGAAAATAAAATTGTTTTACATGTCTTCCCTCAGCTAAATTTCCAAAGGAACCAGAAATCACCATTCTATTATTACTTCACACATTTCAGAGTTGAATCCTGAAAATAGGTTCCAGATCTGAACTTTTGACTCTTTGCTTTTGACAATGTTATTGCAATAGTACAAAGCTTTTGAAATGGGCTTCCTATTTTTTTAGGTCAAACAATTTAGAAAAACCTGCAAACCACAAAGCAGTATTGCCACCATTGGAGTTATGTAGCATTTTGGGCTCCCCCTGCCCAGAGTGCTCATGGGTAGTTTTTCAAGAGTACTGCACGTACATATAGCACTTATAAAAAACTGACAAGTGCTCATCAGATGCTCTCCTATCCCCAAGAGTATGTGCTTATTCTTCTACACACTCCCGAAAATAGATCTAACTCATTTATGCCCATATGTTCTGAGGTCTATAAATCTTATCAGCAGCACTGGCTCCCACAGTCCCTAGGATCTTAGCAGTTATAATGGTTGTCCCTTTACCTGTTGCTATTTAGCTGCCACATCCCATTGGCCCCTCCTGCCTATGTTAGACAACATTAGTAGGATCTACTATGAAACCTGTAGTTCTTGAGAAAGAATGCCACATAGTGCGACACACTTCTTTCTGACTCTCAAACTACAAGCCACACAGTTCCAGTTTGCAGATAACATTATAGTTTAAAATAGGCACTGTGGGTTGGACTAGATGATCCTTGGGTTCCTTCCAACTTTACAATTCTAAGATTTAATAAAAGGTCCTTACAACATAATGCAATTTAGTCCCATATGATTAAGCAATTATAAATAAATGAGTCCCCCCACCCTGAGAAGATTGCACTCAGATAAACTGGTTTGTGCAGATCTTTTTGGGTAAGATACTTTGGTCATAATAACAGGCTATATCCAGCTAAATCCTACCTAGGGCAGAGCCTTTGAAATTAATGTTTGGATTTTTAATTCATTTCAGTGAGTCTACTCTGAGAAGGATTAGCATCTGAGGCAACCTGTGTGAGAGATTGGGGGGGAGGGAGAGATATATGTAAATTTACATAGCAGGAGGACAAATGAGGGCTGACAGCAAATGTAAACAAGGATGGGACAGCTGCATATTCCTGCATTGCAGAGGGTTGGACTAGATGATCCTCGACAGGGTCCCTTCCAACTCTACAATACTATAATTCTAGGGGTAGGAGCTATAACTGTCTCTCCCACGGTGGGTCTAGGCACTACTATAATAGACAGATCCTACCTGTTGAAGGCTTTGTTTTAAAGGGACCGGAAATCGTGTTCTACCTGAGCTATACATATATCACGTTTCTGTAGGGATGCTTTGCATTTGTTGAAGGATGGAAGCCACCTTGAGTAAACCTTTTGAGAAAGAATGCAGGGTATCAATGATAAAAAAGAAACAAAAATTGGGTCAAGCTAGACATGACATTAATTGTGTGAACGTGATTAACTTAGAATCTTTATTTTGTTATGTTTCCCCTAGTATTTTGCCCTATAGGCAGGTCTTACGTTTCCCCAAACCTGTCTATGCGCCATTGATCTTAAATTGTTCAAGATGCTGTACTTAAAAGGATGGAAAGTACTCTATTAATTGACAGCTTCTTTTTCTAGTGTAATGTTAATAAACTGACAGTGCAATGTCAAGCATGTCGACTCAGAAGTAAGCCCCACTGTGCTCAACTGGACTTGCTCCCAAGTAAGCAGGTGTTAGATTGCAGCCTCTCCTGCTGCTTCTCCTGTATTCTCCCTGTTCCTTCTCCTCACTTTCCTCAAAATGTGAAATCCTTGTGTCTAATAGAAAAAAAAATCTACTGACAGAGCTGAGCAAAGCTGAGCATATGGAGTACAGCCAAAGTAACAGGGGAGCGCGGGTAGAAAAGGCAAGGCAAAAACAGCAGGCAAGGCAAAACGGCAATGTGTGTGTGCCACTGACTCCGCCAAAGCTTAGGCTTCCTGATAATTATGCAATGATCTCTTTTAATAATAAAGGATACCCCGAATCTGGTAACAAAACACGGCACCGAACATCAGGGCCGTCTCTGGTTGCAGAATCCTGGGTGATAGAAACATGCCCTTGTGATGCATCCATGCGCTGGCGAGATACATGTTTTGTCCAGGGCTCAGGAGGGGCAGAGGGACCATGAAACTAAGGAATGGGGGCTCCAGATTCCACAAGGAGACATAAGCAAGTGGGAAACTTTGCCTTCACCCTGTTTCTTCCAAGAATCGCGCCTCCCCTTCCTCGCTGCTTAGCCAACCAGCCCCTCCCCAGCCTCGATTTCCCCACCAGTGCCTGTACTGAAGAGCTGATATTGATGAGAAGCAACTCTCTCTCTTCCCCACCCCACTTCACCCCTTTCACTTTCTTTCTCCTTCTCCCCCAAAGTGTCTCTCTCTCCCTCTTTTTTTCGCCCTTTCGGACTTGCCTACATTACTACGGATTGTGGTGGTGGAAGGTGTCCTTTAGCTGCTGTCGTGGTTAAAAAAATCAGGAGTCAGAAATGCTTCAGCTACTGCAAACATCTACAGAACTACCAGTAGAACTTGACTATCTGCTTACTCCTGCTAGAAGTCAAATTTCAGTGCGGAACAGACTGTCCACGCACTATACCTTTGAAGCACATTCAAATCACCTTTCTCTCTCTCTCATATATATATATGGCAACTTTGTTTTGTTAAGAGTTGCAGGGAACTGGGGTAAACTAAAAAGGTAAAGGTACCCCTGCCCGTACGGGCCAGTCTTGACAGACTCTAGGGTTGTGCGCCCATCTCACTCAAGAGGCCGGGGGCCAGCGCTGTCCGAAGACACTTCCGGGTCACGTGGCCAGCGTGACAAGCTGCATCTGGCGAGCCAGTGCAGCACACGGAACGCTGTTTACCTTCCCGCCAGTAAGCGGCCCCTATTTATCTACTTGCACCCGGGGGTGCTTTCGAACTGCTAGGTTGGCAGGCGCTGGGACCGAGCAGCGGGAGCGCACACCGCCGCGGGGATTCGAACCGCCGACCTTTCGATCGGCAAGCCCTAGGCACTGAGGCTTTTACCCACAGCGCCACCCGCGTCCCTGGGGTAAACTACAGTGCCCTAAATTCTAAGAGGAGTATGCGCTTCAAATGTACTTTAAAAGCATTGCACATGGAGCTGAGAGACATTTAAAGATGAACAACATGCACAGGTGGCCCAGAATAAAGCCCTTTAAAGTCTCACCTGTCGAAAAGTCCTTAAAAGAGAATTTACGTCCTCGGTTTGAGGGTCCAGGAACCCAGCGCTTGCAAACTGCAGCCGACAGCAGCATTCAAGCCGCTTTGGAGTTAGTTACCAGGAATGCGAAGTTGCGAAACTCGACGTCGTTCTCTACCCGGCGGATCTTTCAAGCACTCGAATAAACTCCTCGATTCTAGCTATTAAAAACAACAATACAAAAAACAAAAGGAAAAAAACCCACTGAGTTTGGACACTGTGTGAAAAACAGCTTTAAAAAATAATAATAATCCTGGGAAGCGAGGAAGGCGGGCGGGGTGGGTGAGAAGTGTATACCGATGACGGGGGACGGGAGAATGAAAAGTAAAATGCGGTGCTCGAAGCCAAATGACTGTCGAGGGAATAGCTGAGTAAGAAACTGCCTTTGCGCAAGAAAGACGAAGGAGAGGAAACCGGGGAAAGAAAGGGAAGCGAGAGGAGCGGCTTTTCGGTTGAAACTGCCAGGAAGCAAAGCGGGGAGGGCGGGAAGTGCCAAGCGAACCAGCGAAAGGAGCTTAGCGAGGCGGGGAGAAAGCAGCGTGGAGTGAGAGAAAACCTCGGGGTTCAGCCCACAACTGCCTCGCTGGTTCCTGGGGCTCCTCCGTACCTCCTCAAGCTAGAGCAGCCTCTCTCCCGGCCGACGAGGCCTCGCCTTCCCCGGCCCTCCGGACCCACCCGCGTGTTTCCTGGCGCCGCCCATCATGTTCCTGTCCCGCTAAACTATTTGGGAGAACCCGTGAAGGGATTCCCAGTTTGAACCCGGCGGTTACGGGCAGGGCTGGGCCCGAGGCCAAGGCTAAGAGTGTATTGCGACTAACAGTGAAGCCACTTAAGGGAGGGAGAGGAGAGAGGGAGGGATACCACTACCACATGCCCAGTCCCTGTGTCATCATTTTAGTTACAAATAAAAATGAAATAAACAGGAGTAAGATCTGACGAAATAGGGTGGAAGGCTTATTTGAGGCAACGTCGCCTAAGCAATTTTACCTTGGTGGACGTTGCCTTGGAGTCAGTGTGTGGCCAAGGCTGTCACGGGGGTTGTTTTGTGAGGGCTGTTTTTTGGGTTTTTTTAAATAATAAAAATATTAATTGCACGGGTGTTTTTATTTTTCCGTGAATGTGAATGTATTATATGTATGTTTTAAATATGCTGTGGAAACCTTTCCCCCAACAAACGATTAAGGAATATACCGGTAATCTTAAGAGGTGAAATGTGCAACAGAAGCGTAATTTGCTGCTTTTCTCTCTTTCAGAGAGAGAGAGAGAGAGAGAGATCAGTCCAGAACAAGTCACTATGCTACTTATTGTGTAAGAGTCCTGAGTCTTTACTGTTAGGTCAAGCAAGGCAGCCGCAGGAAGCCCAATTTTGCCTGTCATGAAATGACAGCAACTTTTTAGTTATTATTGTATTTTTACTACAAGGGGAAAAACGTTTGTGGGATGTTCTCCTGGTGCCAAAATAACTTGGCTAGCTACTATTGGCTTTGACATGAGGGTAGCAAAACGGTCTTTTGCACCAACCTGCAATGTTAAAAAATGTGAATAACCATATCTTCCTTTTTTTAAGGGCGGAAAGCAGTTCATTTCTTTAAAAAGAAAGAGAGGTGCTCTTCAGAGGCAGGGCACTGCTCAGCTAGGACCTTCTTTCCATTATCTACTGTGCATGGCACATGTGAGGTTTTTTCCTTCCATCAAGGAACCCAAGATGGCATATCGTTTCCAGTCCACACATTGACCAGACCAGACTCAGACTTTCAACTAGATTTACATGCCTTAAGTTAAGACTTTACTCCCTCTCCAAGGGAGGTGTAGAGGATAGTCACACAAGAACAGGCCTTTTCAGTGGTGGCTTCCCATCTGTGGAAGCACACTACTGTCTCTTGGCAGGAACCAAGCAGAAACATTTTTATTTATGCAGGTTTATGTGTTTTTTTAATTGGGAAGGTAGTTAGACATGACTGTATCCTTTGTTGCACTCATCATTTAACAGAGGTGGGGTTCAGACTTGTTCCTTTTAAATGCAGTAATATTGTTGTATGAGTATTTATGGTTTTATCTGCTTTTGATACCTTTTTTTTTTTAGTTTTACTGTGTAAATCATTTTAGGCACTAGAGTGCAAAAATGTGAGTAATACCCTGGGATCACAATCATAAAAAAGACTGTCTCTAAATATGTGTAGTCTTGACTTCCCCCTCAAGTACTAAGTGACCAAAACAACTCTCAGACTCAGGCTACAGTACTTGGAAAAAGGTTGGCATGACTTCATTAGTGCTCATGTTCCGGCTGTGTCTTCCTTCCAAGATTTAAGCACTTGTCAAGGGACAAGCCTGCCTTGAGGACACTGCCCAGATGACCCTTATCTGCATCAACACCCCTGAAGTCTTTTTATTTTACAAAAAAAGTCAGGAGAGCAATTCGGTTGAGGACATAAACTTTCACCTCTTCAGTTTCCCTGCTCAACCTCCCTCCCTCTTAACTTCCCGTTTCTGGAACAAAGCGCTGCTAGGGAATTCACCTGGAAAATTGTGTGTGAAGGCTTAAGAAAACATCTGCCACATCGTCTACAATACATCCCAATCCAACAAAACAAAAAGACATGGGAAGTCCCAATCAGGAAACCCAACAGTCACATATTATTTGTCCCTAATGCTCCAATCCTATCTCCACTTACTATGGGGGAAATTCCAACGAACTCTATGGGACATACTCCTAACATAAACATATCTAAGGCTATGTTGTAAGTCTGCGCTTAACAGGCTTTCAGTCTTTTAAGATGGAAAATATTGCAACCATCTTCACATTTGTATGGCAAAACAGGCAGAAAGAGGATTATCAATGTTTTATTTTTTTTGGAAATCAATGCTTATCAATGTTTTATTTTTTGGAAAGCGGTTTGCAATCCTTTTTTCATTCATTTTCACAACATTTCCAGTGAGTGGTGCTTGTTGGAGACGGGCTTGCTGGAGACGGGCCACATCTCCATGGAAGAGTACATGTATTGCATGTGGAAAGTCCCAAGTTCAGCTCCTAACATTGCTGGCTTAAAAAGGATTACTAGGAGCAGAGCTAAGATATGGAGCTTTAATAATAGTGAGCCAATATAGGCTGTCGTCCTGTCATGTAGAATCCATCACTACCCTAAATTAACACTGTGGCTGCTGCTTTAAATCATGGTGTGTGCCAACAATTTACCCATTCAATTGCTTCAAGCAAGTTAAAGCTACACAACACTACAAATAACCTAAACACTACATATGACCAACACCCAACAAATTTGGAAGCCTACTAAACATACTAACGAGGGACGCGGGTGACAAAGCCCAGAACTTGCCAATCAGAAGGTCGGCGGTTCGAATCCCCGCAATGGGGTGAGCGCCTGTTGCTCAGTCCCTGCTCCTGCCAACCTAGCAGTTTGAAAGCATGTCAGTGCAAGTAGATGAATAGGTACCGCTCTAGCGGGAAGGTAAACGGTGTTTCCGTGCACTGCTCTGGTTCGCCAGAAGCGGCTTAGTCATGCTGGCCACATGACCCGGAAGCTGTCTGCGGACAAACACTGGCTCCCTCGGCCAATAAAGCGAGATGAGCACCGCAACCCCAGAGCCGGCCACGACTGGACCTAATGGTCAGGTGTCCCTTTACCTAACATACTAACAATGTAAAGCAGTCACATGTGCCCAGGATTTGCGTGAAACACCTCCAAGGAAGTAAGTGCATGTCTGTATGGAACATTTACTTTCTTAAAGGGGAGGAGTGGGTTCTGAAGAGCTAATTTACATTTTGTATTTCTTACAACTTTCATAATAGCCCTCACAATAGTATTGGGGTGCATAAAATGACTGAAATTGATATGAAGTAGGATGCTATGCAATTTAAAGGCCCACACATGAAGGCAAATCATTCATCTGAGATTTGCTCAAGACATCTTCACAGTTGACAGTTGCTAATTGTATGGGTTCTTTGTTGCAATTCAAGAAAGCAAATCATTTGCCACAAAGCAAAATTCAAAAACTTACTATTTTAATCCAGGGGTCAGCAAACTTTTTCAGCAGGGGGCCAGTCCACTGTCTCTCAGACCGGACTATATATTTTTTTGGGGGGGGGATGAACGAATCCCTATGCCCCACAAATAACCCAGAGATGCATTTTAAATAAAAGCACACATTCTACTCATGTAAAAACACCAGGCAGACCCCACAAATAACCCAGAGATGCATTTTAAATAAAAGGACACATTCTACTCATGAAAAATCATGCTGATTCCCGGACCGTCTGCAGGCCGGATTTAGAAGGCGATTGGGCCGGATCTTAGAAGGCGATTGGGCCTTAGTTTGCCTACCCATGTTTTAATCAATTTCTCTGTTTACTGCTGTCTTTCCTTGGGGGCAGGGAAAAACAGAATGAACTCAATGTCTTCTATATGTATCTTCTTTTTTTTTTTAGATGAACACTCATATCTTAGCTTGCAGAGTTTCCTGTATGAATCTTGGATGATAAAAATGTGTTTCCCCAAGATACCAAGTAAACTGCATAATTTCAGGGAAAAGTCCTAGACATGACTGTATGCAACCAAGCAGAATTCTAGAGTTCACTTAAAAACAACTATAGGAAAAGCCAGGGGAGGGGGTGGGAGTGTTTGGTGCTGCTCTCTGAAGGCACTTGAACACCACCTGCTCCCCTTAACCCAGCCTTTGCTTCAGAGCTCCAACCATCCAACATGTACAGAGACAGAAAAGCCAAATAATTTTAAAGTGGGAAAATGTTTCGGGCCAAGAAACAGCAACAGCCATCCGGAGATGGAGATGGTTAAACGTACCACAAAATACTGTGAGCGTTATTCTTAAGGAAAACTGTTATTTAAGTGGTATTTTACTTTTATTCAACTGCTACAAGCTGGCGGGTATACCAGTTCTGTTTGGGATATATGCCAAACAGTTGGAATTATCATTGCTAGCAAAATGAGAACATTAAATGGTAAAGGGCTTTATTCAACAGGATCACACTTCAATTTTCCGTGCAGCATTTGGAAGCATACATTAGGGCAATGAAAGGGTAGCTGAAAGGACTTCAGGAAAGTATACATGGAGTCTTGGATAAATGGTGTGGTGAGCCAGATATGCATTTCTATTAAATAGACTTCCATTTAAAAATGAGCACTTATATCCATTTACATTGTTTTTGGTCTGTTCCATTATCCTAATTACAATGCAGGGAACAAAATATAATATCCCTTTGCCCAAGCTTTAAAATTATGTTCTAAATAAGAGCAAATATTTGAAGTCATTCCACTCACTGCTTATGCATGGGCATAATGCAACACGGATATATGAAAAAATGAGATTAATAAATAATTTGCTAAGAAATGCAGGTTAAAGTCTCTCGTGCCATGGTCTCAATCTGCTTAGGACCTCCCACACAAGCTATTTGATTTTTTAAGAAAACAAACTACACTATAAAAGTCATAGTTTGAGCCTGTGCAAGATATATTCCAATTTAGGGTCTGCCTCCCTGCTACAGAGCAGGACAAAATCGCAATACTTCCTTCCTGTTACTGTTTCTTTATCATTCTACAACAGAACACCACAATCAACAGAGAGAAACTTCAGTAGGAGATAAGTTGTTTTTCCATTTAGGATGAATAAAGCATGCAAGCTGTGAATCAGGGTTTCTTGTCCACCATGCTTCTTAACATTTCCATGAAACCAGTGGAGAATATCATTTGGGAATTTAAAGTGTGGTGCCATTAGAATGCTGATCACACCCAGTTCTCTCTCTTTTTCACCACCAAGCTCAGCAAAACAAAAAACCACAATGATAACACAAAATGAAACAGCTAAACGACAAAATTGAAAATATAGTCTTAAGGCTGCAAATGTTTCAATAGCCTTACTTAATGGTGGTTTGACAGATGAGATGTACCTCTCTTTGGCCACTGAAAGCAGGGGTTCAAAGCTGAAATAAGACTGTATTGGGTAAGTTCACACCTAGTAAACTGATGGAGCCAATTAAAAAGTTTCACCAGCAGCCTCTTGAATCTCTGTTGGCTTGAATGCGTTTGAGGGATG